TGACACATGATTGACTCACTCTTCTGTGAATCGATCATGTGACTCTGACCAGCGGTGATGCCATCTATAATGCTCTCATTGAACGTGTTGAGAGACGATGTCAGATGTTTATGTGTTGCCGTGACACCGAGAGGAGACAAAGAGTGTTTGTGATCCACGTGCACCCCCCCCTCCCGTACCAGCTCACACACAGATACAAACACACATCCCTGCTGTGCTTCTGGGTGGAGATGTCACCTCCGCGTACTCTCTGACAAACTGGAAATTGAAAGCACTGTGTTTCTCCCTCGCTGACTTCCTGTGGTAGCTTTTCAAACGAGCTGTCAGAACTAAAGTTTAAGACTGTGATAGCGTCTCAGGTAGGACTGCACACAAACGATCTGAGACGGAGACACTTTTAGAGTAAATAACTTCTAAATAAAATGTCTTTACAAAGAAAATACACTGAGGATCTGTGAGGAACACAACCGTTAGTGAAGGCTGGTGACGATGTATATAAAGAGATGTGATGTGAGGATCTTTTATTAACTGGACAAATGTGTTTTTTGTATATTATTAATAATAATAATAATAATAATAATAATAATAATAAATAACATTTTCTGATGCTTCATTAATCTGAATGAGGCGGATCAAATATTACCAGCAGATTATTATCACTTACAGTAGAAGTTGCTGTAGTCAACAACCTTACCGGCTTTAAAATGAAGATTATGTCCTAAATGTGGACGTAGGTTGAGATCTGTGTGACGACTTTTAGAGGCCTGAAGATTAGAGGAAGTTACTTGCCTACCGTTAACTAGTAGCTACCTTAAACGCGGGTGTTGTGTGTAAAGGGGGGGGCAATACTCTCAGATATTACAGGTGTTGTATTTGTAGCTGAAGTTGGAGGCTGAAGGACTTTCGGGTCACACTAGCAGCTCCGGGCTCTGGTTGGTTACTCTGCTGTCTGACTCTCTCTCGCAGCAGACATGTTGGTTTTCTTCTCAGCTGATCAGGAATCAGCCACAGAGCCTCAAATTAGGCTGCACCTGCGAAGTCTGTGGCCTCATTTCCTGTGTACAGTCACACACACTTTGTCTCCTGTGTGAGCACAAATGTGGTTTTCTACAGAAAGACATCGGGTTCTGAGGATTGTAAGGTTCGGGCCTGTTGTCAGGAGGTCGCGAGGAAACGTTATAGCAGACAAATGAAACAGTTATTCAGGTTTCAGGAGCAGATTGCAGGTTTCAGCAGCTGTTTGCAGTATTAACAGCTTCATTTGATATAGTTGAGAAAGACTTCCTCTCTCGCTTCCTCTTTACACCCCGGACTGAACAGTTTGATGGAGGACTATTTCTGTGCTTCTGCTTTAGCTTTAGGTGCCATTTAAATACACAAAAGTACCTGGCAGCCGGCTTCCTGCTGACATTAATACAGCGGTTTATGTGGAAACGCACATGATGCTGGTGTGAATACTGTTTGTTCTTCAGTACGTGAATGGGACACACTTGCTTTTGTGTTAAGGTAGAGAAACAGTGCTTTTAGAAAACAGGCAGAAAATGTCTTTGATTCTCCAATAAAGGCTGCGAAAGCAATAAAACATAATGCAATAAAAGTAATAACCACCACACACATCATAAATCCTCAGCAATGTACTGTATGAGGAAAAGTACTGGAGTGAATCTCCCAGCATGCAAATATTTCAGTGTTATTTCTTCATTATAGTGATGGCACATCTTACAGAGGATATATATATATATATATAATTATATATAGCAGTGTTAAAGCGTGAAGTCATGGCTTTTACTTTTTACTTTCACAGGGGTTCGTAAGGCTTGGATGAAAGAAAACTATTAAAATATATATAAAGTATATTTATATAGTAGGCTTATATCAGCATTTTGTTAATGTATGCGAAGAAAACTGAAGTAAATTATTTTTAAAGTTTAGATATTTATTATTATACAGAGCTTCAGTCTCTCATCAACCGCCTCGTTCTGCATCAGAAAACAACCAATGAGAAGAAAACACTGAATTTGTCAAAAAAGAAGAATATTAAGTCTGTATGATTGTTAAAAATTTAAAAAATCCATAATACAGACAGATAATTATATAAAAAAGTTCCCTAAACAGGAAATAATCTGCAAAAAATTCACCAAAATCTCTGTTTTTACACAAACTTCCTGCAGCTACTGAGTTCACTGTTTGGGTTCATTGTTGAGTTTATCAGCTGTTCTCTGCTGTTATTGTTGCATATAATATAAAATACACATAAAAAAAAGTCACTTCGTTTACTCAAAGATAGACAAAGGATGTTTTTTAGAGAACTGAAATGACAGATGCGTCGCCTCTGCACATGAACACACCACAGAAACCGGTGTGAAGAGCCAGCTGGTTGGTGACAGACGCACACGCCCTGAAATAATACCGAGGAAATAACTAATCAGAATTTAAGAGTGGAAGTTGAACAAAAACTCCAAACCGCAGAGACCGAACGTTACGTCACAACAGTTAAACACTGAACTCTGCTGATGAACATTCAGGAACTTTATTATATTTGGATGCGTCTGGTTGAAGAAGAACAGGTGATTAAAGTAATTCAGCAATCTTTAGTATTTACTGTTTGTCTTATTCTTGATTCATTTAAGACTCTTTAACTTTAATGTTTGCTGGTTGCAGCTTCTCAGATTTGAGGATTTTCAGCCTTTTTTCTGTCGCAATATTTTATATTAATTTTTAGTGGTTAAACCCCCCAACAACTATCTTCATCTTAACTTTAACTCTTTAATTCAGATTTTATTCATATAGTGGTGTGTTCTTTATACGATGATAAATAGATCAGTATATTATAATACATTGAATTGTCATGTATCGTATCACCAGATATCTTTGTGTGACTGTTGGCCTCAACATAACACCTGAAGACATCACATTGGACTATGTTTGTGTTATTTTAGAGCCAATGATTGATCTACAGTAATCAATAGATAAATGTGGCCCAGTCCTACTTTGTTCTGATTAAGAGATAATGTCAGAATAATGTCTGACACAATGTGAACTGATGTACTGTAGTGACCTCAGTCAGTGAGGAAATCTGCTGTGTGTGTGTGTGTGTGTGTGTGTGTGTGTGTGTGTGTGTGTGTGTGTGTGTGTGTGTGTGTGTGTGTGTGCATGTGCGTGTGAGGTTTCCATTGTTGCACATTGGGGCCATTGAAAGGGGAAGTAATTGTGATGAAATCAGCTGTTTCAGCTAAAATTGCCGGTGTTACTTTTGCATTTGAGCAGCCGACGCCCTCAGTGAGCGACAGCAGACATTTATTACCACCAACAGGTGACGTTCAGACGCTTTCAGGTGGGGCGATGGCGGTTACTCCGACTGAACTGTACGTTAAGACCCAACAATTTCTCCTTTTTGTGTCCAGTTCAACATAGCGGTTCTTCCAGGAAACTGACCTTTCACCTTCTTACTGTCAGTGTTCTGGTGATAGAGGAACTGAGCTTTTCTTCTAGCTGTTAGTCACTTTGGACCGGAGCGTCAGCTAAACTATAATTAGAGCAACTCGGTGGGGGGGTTTGACACTGTTGTGAATAAATAGGCTCGCTGAGGAAGACGCTGTTGTCTCACAGCTTGATACGAGTAGTATTCAGTGTAGCTGCTCTGGAGCCGCAACTCAACTCCTGTCGGACGGATTGTGGAAACTTTGGCGATCCTCTGACATTTCATGTAGCGCCATCAGAGGTTTATGATCAGGGTTGTTTAACGTGATGTACGCAAGCATGAACTAACCAATTGCAACTAGCTAGCTAGCTAACAGCACGGCTAGGTAGCTCACTGATTACTGTACAGACACAACTTTATCAGATTTGGGTGAAACTGGATCAGATTTATCAGATTTTATGGACCGTATATTGTCTGGTTTTCCCTGTGGACCTGCTGTTCGCTGGGAGCTCAGCAGTATGTGGACTTTAAGCAGAGGATTAATAACATTTGAGGCTCGTTGCTGTTTGTTTATTTCATCCATCTGTGGCTCTTCTGTAAGGATCCCGTTAGCATGCTAATGATAGCCACACTTCGATAGCCTCCATCAGCGGTTGCCCGGCGACGAGTTCTGTTGAATGTTGAGTTTAAAGGAATCGGGATGTTTGTGGAGCTGTAACTGAGATCTGACCCGGTGAAGTGGTGCCGTACAACAGATAGCGGTGTGTTTTACCCCCCCCTCGGGGAGCGGCCGTGTTGGCAGATGCGCTGCTGTGTCACCAGGAAGTCATCCACGAACAGGAAACAGGCTGCCAATCTTCTTCCTGTTTGCCAGCTGACCTTTGAACCCGGCGTTTGTTCCACTTCCTCCTCTCCGTCCTCGTTACGTCTCTTTCTCACTTTCACCCTCGCAGGACGAAATATCTCCCTCGATGTCTTCCTGAAGGGCAGTGGCACTGTGATGTGGTTGAGCATACATTAAGCTGCTTCCACCCTCCTGATGGATCCATTGTGATCTGTTTACCGCCATGTTTCAGGCCCAGCGTCTCTCTCTCTCTCTCTCTCTCTCTCTCTCTCTCTCTCTCTCTCTCTCTCTCTCTCTCTCTCTCTCTCTCTCTCTCTCTCTCTCTGTGGTATCTTTTCCTCGCAGGCTCAGCTTTATGTAAAATGAGCAGAATCTCTCCGGTTGAAACCTTTCTTTCCTCTGCATGCTGAAACGTGTGTGAGCTGCAGGGATTTACCCGCCATTCAGCCGTGATCTGACACAGCGGCAGCGCTCTGTGCTGGAAGGGTAGAGATTAGTGGATGGAGACGAGAGGAAATACCGTTCTTACTGCAGTTCTTACTGTCACCCACTCCCCGTCCTGTCCCAGTGATTCCGGTTGAGGCCAACAGATCGGAGGTGTAGATCCAAACTGAGGTGTCCCCGCAAACCTTGAGGTCCAGTGTGTAACATTCAGGATGATCTATGAAATATAACGTGTATATATAACATTCTCGGCTGTTTCTGTTAGTTTAAATAATCTGCTTTTATCTATAGACGCCGCGGGTCGCCTTCCACGCCATGACTACTGGCTCTAGATCGGACCGACCTTCGGCCCTCGTTTTGCAGCCACTGTAGTTTTCCATCACGGTTGGAAAGGGAAGGTAAAACTCTCCACCTTCACCGCTAGATGCCATTTTTAGGGTCATTATCTTCAATAAAGTTCCAGTTTAACAGCATTTTCTGGATTTTGGATTGATCTGAACGGGATCCTCTAGTTGGAGCTCATTAATTGTAGGAATGTGATTGTGGGCAAAGAATCTGTCGTGGATTAAAGCTGCGTATCGAACCTCAATAGGAAATAATAAAATAAAAAAATCAGACATTTCTGTTCGACGTTTGAGGTAATTTTGAGTTTAAAATCAGGAAGCTGGCCCGGAGGTTTTCTGTGTCCGTGATTCATTCAGTCACCTCCGTCCTCTGTCTGTCTTTGTGTTGCCAGAGAGGGAGGCAGAGGAGTCAGAGGATGGAGGGTGAGAGAGGGCAGGGGACATTTACAGTTACATAACAGTGCTTTCAGCATCTCACAGCATCACTGCACATCCTATTTTTATAACACACTGCTCTCTCTGTCCACAGACACACACACAGACACACAGACACACACACACACACACACACACACACACACACACACACACACACACACACACACAGCCCGCTGGTTTAATCACATATTGATTTAGTAAATAAACACCACTGCGACCGGTCTGTCTGTCTGTCCCTTTTGCTTTATTGGCACGATTAAGTAAGAGCAGGTTGTTTACAGCAATTATTTACACGACAACGAACGTTACGCACATTACTGCAGAGGTTACGTCGTCAAATATGTATGTAATCGACTTAAATGTCGTTGTTAGAACCAGGAGTTAAATACGTAGAATAAAAAGAAGTCCCTGCTCTGATTGGCTGATGAGATTTAAGGCTTTGACTCACTGGCCTGACCTCCAGGATGCTGAGTCATTGTGTGTGTGTGTGTGTGTGTGTGTGTGTGTGTGTGTGTGTGTGTGTGTGTGTGTGTGTGTGTGTGTGTGTTGCTTTAGTGTCTCTTGTACGTCTGGGTTTCTAGTCTCACCTCAGTGAACTTTATTGACAAGAAAGTTTTTCCACATAATACAAATATGAATAACTCAATAAGTAGGAAATGAACATGAACGTTAAATATGATATAATATTCATCGGTATGTTGCTTCTGACTCTCTGAGACTAGTTGTTCTGGGAACGTATGGGAATTGCTTAAAATGACCGAATATTCTGGAAATAATCTGTGTAAGCCCCTCACTCAGATCGTCTTTGTGAAACCCGGGTCAGAGAACAACTGCAGATAAACAGTCTGTAGTGAGCGAGCTAACCAAAGTTTCCCATGAATGCTAAATGCTAACCTTCAACCAACCTCCATCACTGCATCGATAACACAAGTTCTCCTGGTTCATATGACGTTACTATGACTGTTTGTGAGCAAGTGCTGTCTTGTATTGTTGAAAAACCCCTGGAAAATATGACCTAGATAATGAACTTTCTCTTTCACTTTCTCTCTCTCTCTCTCTCTCTCTCTCTCTCTCTCTCTCTCTCTCTCTCTCTCTTCTCTGTGTCTGTCTGTCTCGCAGTGGAGGGCAGACAGGCGGCATGACAGAGGAGAAATGTCCCCAGCTGGTGGACTACTTTGTAGTGGCAGGTCTCGACCCTGCGGGGCCCTGGAGGCCCCTGGACGAGGATGGCAAGACCTCCACCAACTGCTCTTCGACGCCCTCCTCTTCTTCGTCTTCGTCGGGCCGAGCGGTGGAGTCGGTGACGGACCTGGCGGTGATCGCCCGGGGGCTCGGCGAGGAAGTGCCGGAGGGCTTCACCTGCATCGAGAGGACGCTGGGCGGACACTCGGCCGAGCTGAGCGCCGGCCTCATCAACAACCCGCACCTGTACCTGTGCTACCGCCGGGGGCGGGACAAACCGCCCATACTGGACCTGGGGTGAGACACACACACACATACACACACACACGCGCGCACACACACACACACACCAATGTGGTGTGTTCAGGGACAATACAGATTATTAGTGATGGTGGAACCGATATTTAAAAACAGAAAAACTAAAAATATTGGAGGCTACTGTACTTTTAACTCCCTTCCATTTATCTGATAACTTCACTGTGCAGATTTGGATTATTTCTATGAAATATAATCAAATAATAAATTATGATGTAATATTATAGTTAATATAGATATCCAGCAGCATATAAAGTAAATCAAATGGATCATTCTGCACTTTTACTAAGTATATTTTAGTTTTTTTTTCACTAAATGCCTCAATAACTTTTCAACTTCATCCTAAAAACATATAACTCCTGATGAGTAACCAATCAGAGAGCTCTGTGGGCGGGACGCAGAGGTTCCCATACAGACAGTCGAGCCTCGGTGTCTCTCAGCGACGTTACGGCTTTAACTTTAGGTTATGTTGTAATGATGATGAGATGCTCTGAGAATAATCTGCCCCTCACTGGCTGCAGATGTCGTCACTGTGTCCTCGGTGAAACTGAGTCCGTCAGTCCGACAGCTGTGTGTGTGTGTGTGTGTGTGTGTGTGTGTGTGTGTGTGTGTGTGTGTGTGTGTGTGTGTGTGTGTGTGTGTGTGTGTGTGTGTACAGCATGTTGTGTTGTGCTGTTTTCATTCACACAGTGCCGCTATCATACAGGAATCAGGTCTTCACGTGATGCATATTACAGTTTATGTAATAGGAGGATTATGTAAGGCGGTGGTGGGCAGACTGAGTCGTGTTCTGGACTCTCATCCCACAGACTCTTCTCTATTGTTTATTTCGTGCTCAGTTATTTAATTACTCTGATTACACTCGTGTTCGGGGATAATGAGGCAAATCCTCTCACATCAGATTACATCTTTTTTGTCTGTAGCTGACGGGGCAGTGAGCAGGTAGCGACAGGATGTCTGGGTGTTTGACTCCCAGCTCACCACATGATTCTGTGAAATGATATGATCAGACACTGTGAGGGAAGACAGGGACAGGTACATCTAAGACCAGACCAGGACCTAGTTTGGCTGTCTGTGACTGATCTGAGCAGCAAAAAATGTCAAAACTGGTCCTCAGGGTGCGAACTACAGGGGAGCCGGGGGGGGAGGGATCTCCGTTCTGATTGGTTGTTTTCAATCGGGCCCGGTGGATTCTGATTATCTGTCTCAAGTGCTGCTGTCAGGATGTAGTGAAAGTCTCAGGAAATCTTCCATAACACACAACGATGCTTTTGTTTCTATACCAGTTATATAAAATGACCTCAACCAGGGAAGAAACTGAATTTCTGTACAGTGTTGGCATAAAAGCAGCATTAATAACAAACAGTCGGTCTGTAAACAACAGTATGCAGTCGTCTGTGCAGGTGAGCAGCTCGCAGTAAAAACACAGCGAGCCAACGACCTCACAGTCCCGCCCACTCAGGTGTCACTACTGGTCTGCAGGTATATTTCAGCAGGAGGGAAATCAGATCTGATCTGCCAGCTCAGACACTGTAGAGACGACTACACACCCCCAGCCTCACCGCCAACTCTCAAACACACTCAATGTATGAATGTGTTTCTGAGAATTACTGATAGTAGAGTACTATTATTATTATTATTATTATTATTATTATTATTTGAAGGGATATTCATGCTCTAGGTTGTAGAACTACAGTTCCCATAAACACAGTAACACAGTAAGAGGTACCATGTCGTCATATTGCAGCTACTGTAAACACGTGAATGCTGCATTTATTTGTATCTTGTGAAATAAAGAATAAATCTCACTTCCTGTGCTGTGCTAATGAGACATTAATGTCTCCTGAGAAGTTGAATTAATCTGAAGTAATAAACTCTGCCTGCAGGGTTCTGTATGAGGGGAAGGATCAGCTGAAGCAGGGCTGGTACGTCATCGAGACGACGCCCTACAGCCGCTCGGCCAACCTGAGCTCCGGCGGTGCTCCGACGGCTCACCGGGTGTTCCTGACGTACCGGCGGGCTCTGGACTCGCAGGGCCTCCACACGCTGGGCGTCACCGACATCGCCCTGCTGCTGCCCAGCAAAGGAGAGGTCGCCCCGCACACCTTCTGCCGCGTCGACAAGAACCTCAACACCGGCATGGTGAGCACCAGTTCCCTGGTTGTTTTTGAGAGATAAATGATAAATTATTGGTACCTAGAGTGGAGTTATGTCAAACTCACCACTCTAAGACACTTCCTGCCGATGTTTCACAGTAAAAGTCTTTCAGGGAAGTAAAGCGATTTAAACTGCAAAATTAAAATGACTAAAAGGGGAAAAACTAAGAAAGAACAGAGACATAATCTTCATCATTAGCTGTCCATCATTTGCAGAAATGTTTATTAATGTGTGTCGTACTTAAAAAAAAAAAAAAAATAGTAGCCTGTCTCTAATAACAGCCAGGTTCACCTGGTGTGTTTTTTCCTGAACCAATGCAATGTAACTTATTATGTTTAGATTTAATTTCTGGTGGAGTTTCTCACAGTTGTGTGTTTGTGTTCGTCTCCAGTGGGGTCCAGCTCTGTATGTGTGCTACAAGAGAGCCGTGGCCAAAGCCAACGCCCTGGTCTACAAGGCCAGTGAGTATCTGTCTGTCACACTGCATCAAGGCCCAAACGCGGGGGTCGATCTCATGACGGTGCCCACCACAAGTACAAAGTTAACATAATCCAACATGAGAGGACCTGGAATAAAATGCTGGAATTTCCCTTTGATTTTGTCCTCAATAATTTTGCTTTAGTAACATTGTAACACTGATTATTTATTAATCTGGCTTACTACAACACTATGAACCCAAAACAAATAGATTTTACTGTGATTTAATTGCAATAAACGGATAAAAATGATGCCAAAACAACAACATCATGATGCCAATGTGTAAAAAGTCTGTCCACAAGACGAAGAGCAAACAACTTTTAAAATGCTTGTTTTTTTAATGGAGTTTGGCTCAATCTGAAATAAAGTTTAAATACACAAATCATGTTTTTCTTAAATATTCCCATCCATAAAATATAGTTATTATCACATTGAAATTCAAATACAAATGGACTAACCGCCGTGTGCTGCAGGTCTGATGAGCCGGTACCCAGAGGAGGACCTGGAGGCGTTTCCTCTGCCGGAGTCGGTGCCGGTCTTCTGTCTGCCGATGGGTGTCACCGTGGAGAGCTGGCCTCTAAACACAAAGTACCAGCTGCCCGTCTTCTCCACCTTCGTCCTCACCTCCGCCTCCGGGGACAAGGTCAGAGACGCAACAACACCCAACATCTCTGCTTAAGGAAGACGGAGAATTTCTTCATGTATTCATTATATCCCGTCTGAGGTGCCTCCCCCTGCTCTCCCTGCAGGTTTACGGAGCGGCCATCCAGTTCTACGAGTCGTTCTCCAGGGAGCTGCTGTCGGAGCGGCAGAGCGTGAGGCTCGGGCTGCTCAGCGTGGTCGACCGGCGGCCGATCACCAACCGCAGCCTGCAGGTGAAGAAGAGCATCTGTGTCCTCTCCCACTGGCCCTTCTTCACCGTCTTCCAGAAGTTCCTCACCTTCGTCTACAGATACTCCATCTCCGGACCCCACGTCCTGCCGCTCGAAAAGTCAGTGCATTCATTTATTATTATAAAGGAAGACTTGGTCTAATGACGCTCTCTGAATTGAGAACCAATGGAAGCAGTTTCTTCTGCTAACAAGCCAACTACATCAATCATTAGCTGGCTAGTTAGGTAGTTAGATAGGTAGTTAGGTAGGTAGTTAGGTAGTTACATCAACTATTTTCATTAGCTATCAGATGTAACTAGCTATTTGGATATCTGGAGCAAAACATTAGCTAACTAACACCAAACTAGCCAGCTAATGGTTGATTTTAGTTTATGGTGTCGAATATTATTTAGAGTTTCCATCTTCTGTGACAAAACTCTGATTATTTATTAAACATAAATCTCATTCCTTTGTTGTTTTACATGATTTTAGCCGTTTTTAATTGTGGGCGTATTGATTGATGATTGGTTTCTCTCTGCAGACACATCTCCAGCTTCATGCACAACGTCCCGTTTCCCTCCCCCCAGCGACCTCGCATCCTGGTTCAGGTAAAGACCGGGACTCGAACCCAAACACAATATTTGATGTTTCGTGTAATTTTAAGAAAATATCGCCCAACTGACTCTTTCAGTCAAATTGTTGGATAAGATGGGAAAATAAAAGAGGACCGAGGACTGAGCCTTGAGGAACTCCACAAGTCATGTTGGTCTGCTTGGATGCAACTAGAGGTTGTTAATTGACTTTTTAAATAACAGTTGAGCAAGCAACTTCCTCTTTTCTGTACTTGGATATGCTATATGCTAGGCTAAGCTATGTTGAAAAGACAACCACCTTTAGAAGCTGGTTAAAAGATAAAATACATGTAGTCACATCTTAGGTCATCTAATGTTATCAAAACGTTAACTAACTATCTAGCTAGTCTACATAAATTGTCAGCTGGCTAGTTAGTTAGTTATTTTGCTACAAAGCAAAGGAGCCAGCACACAATATGATTACTTCTGAATTTAATCCTGAACTTCCTCCTTCAACAGGATGTAGGTGGTGTTCTGGTCTCAGCCTCAACTGGGTAATTGTGCCCAATCAGAAGCAATCCATTTATTGATCAGATTCCAATTAGCAGGCAAATTTCTTGACATGATTCTCTCAATAAGAAATAATTCACTGATCTATCGGGTTCAGATTTCACTGGATGATATTATCACACCCCAGGCGACAGTTGAGTTGATAATTTTGTGTTTGTCGGGATTATCTGTGTTAATATTATTGTAATTAATCATTAATTAAGGACTAATTCTGGTCATCGTTCAGGTCAGTTATAAGATTTTACTCTCCAACCAATGTGTCAGATTATAAACAAATTCACTCTTTCACTCAGGTATCAGATCCATTGTTCGGAACTGGTAGCCGTTAAACCTCAAACACTCAGGTGATCTTTCCAGATAACAGCCAGTTGAGTTTACTTTCTCTTTTACTTCCTGATTAGTGGTTGTTTGAAACCGGTCTGACAGCTCGGGGCGCTCTCCCCGTGGCCACATTTGGTGAATTTATTCACCTTAGAGTAAAATCTTCTCATAACTGAAGGAACGATAGCCAGAACTGCCACAAACTGATCCCCCTGAGAGTGTTTGTGTGTCTTCTGTCTCACTGTGAGTGTCTCTTGCAGCTCTCTCCGTACGACAACCTGCTGCTCTGCCAGCCGGTCTCCTCTCCGCTCCCACTCAGGTCAGTTCATTCGACCCCCGCAGCAGAAAGATCAGGATGTTTTGACACATGGAGGATAAAAATTAATACTGAAAGTGCCCCTAAACAAATATCCATAAAGAGGGAATACTCTAATAAACAAATAAAAAAATAAAATAAGCGAGTAAGCTCATGGCTTTAATTCAACTCACACGTCCATATATAGTTTATTTTTTATTTTTAAAAACAATTAATAATGAAATAATAATTAGTTCTATTTTGATTAATTTATGTTTTTTTATATTCAATTTATTATAATTTATTTTTTATTATCAGTATAGTGTAATTTTATTATATATTTATTAGAATATTTTTTTATTTATATTTTTTTTATATGAACATAATATTAGTTTTTGTCTAATCCAGAAAAAAAACCCTGATAAATCAACATGTCCAACATGAATCAGTCCTGCTCATTGATCTGGAACATTGTCTGCGAGGTTTAATGCACTCAGAGATATTAAAGATATAACAGTTTAAAGAAAATGTGACAGGTTTTAATCTGTTTATAGCTTTATGTGTACACACAGGCATGTACATGATGAAGGACGATGCTTCCTGTTGATGAACTATAACCTGTGTGTGTGTGTGTGTGTGTGTGTGTGTGTGTGTGTGTGTGTGTGTGTGTGACAGCGGTGCGAGCTTCCTGAAGCTGCTGCAGAACCTCGGTCCAGAAAACGCCTGCACGCTGCTGCTCGCCGTCCTCACCGAACACAAACTGCTGCTGCACTCGCTCCGCCCCGACGTCCTCACCTCCGTCAGCGAGGCCCTCGTCTCTGTAAGCCTTACACACACACACACACACACACACACACTGTATTTAATCAGATCTATATAGTAACGTCTCCGTCTGTCTGTCCCCAGATGAGTTTCCCCCTGCGGTGGCTCTGTCCCTACATCCCTCTGTGTCCGCTGCAGATGGCCGACGTGCTGCTGGCTCCGATGCCCTTCATCGTGGGCGTCCACTCCAGCTACTTCGACCTGTACGACCCGCCCACCGACGTGGTGTGTGTCGACCTGGACACCAACACCATCTTTCAGTGAGTCCATCACCACGTTGGACTTCCTACTCCGCGGTTGAGCTGACGCCGCAGCGGCTTCATGACCATAATAATCCAAACTGTCCATTAACCGATTGGCCTGTTCCTGAATCAGAGAGTCAGACGTGATTCACAGTCGTACTTTTAGGAAAATCTGGGTTTTATTTTAGGAGTGAAACAAGGATCAACATGTCAGTTTTGAGAGGCACAGAAGACACATTTGATTCACAGCTAACAGTTGGCTATCTTGTGTAAAACAATGTCTTCAAGCATTGAAAACAGATATTGCTCAACCTGCTACGTCGGGTATTTTAACCCCATTCACACATGCAGGGAGACGAGTTTTCCAGTCATGGAAACACCTGGAAATTGATTAAAATGTCCAAATATCCTGGAAATGTTTGTATTATATCATATTATTATCAGATTAATCCTGTAAATGGGTCACGATCGGATCTTTCTAAAGATCTGCACAACTTTGTCAACTTATTCGATAAGTCGTGTTTTGATTTTTTTTACTGAAACTCTTCTCACGTTTCAGGTCAGAGGACAAGAAGCCGTTGTCATGGCGATCGTTACCCAGGAAGCACGGCAAGACTTTGTTCAACACCCTCACCAACCTCCACAAGACCCTGGAGAAGAGTGAGTGACGGCTCTGAACTGTCAATCACATGATCGATCGGCTTGTCAAAATAGAGTAACGACAGGAAACAGCGAAAGAAAGCAAAACTACAGAACGATACGTTAAAACAAATATATTATAAATTGTAAATATATCTCATAAATAATTTAATCTTAGACTACCTTCCTGTTAGCAGTGATGGTTTTTAATTTCATTAGGTAATTAGGTGGTGTATTTTCTCCTTCTCTCCTCGTTGCTGCAGTTTGCACTCCCGGCCAGGAGGAGGCGACGCTGGAGTTCCTGTTGACGGACTACGATCAGATCTACAGGAGTCAGAAGCAGCTGGAGCTGGAGATCCAGGAGGCGTTCCTTCGCTTCATGAGCTGCCTGCTGCGAGGATACCGAACCTTCCTGCTGCCCATCACCCAGGCACCGTCAGACACCACCACGGACTGCAGTTCCCTGTTCAACCTGCAGGGTGAGCACTGTTTGAGTGTGTGTGCCCTGGACCCGAACACTTTTCAACTCAATCGTATCTTGTTGTCCTAAATAATGATTGTACATAATGATCTGATGATACAAACAGTACAAACTACAGTAGCACCAACTTTTATTACTGTTACAGGTGGAGTTAACAGACAGGACACACAAGTTAATATATAAAAATAAATACAAAGAGAATATTAAAAAAGCAGGACGAGCAGCGCAAAAACCTCTGGTGACAAATCTTTATCATCATTATGTGTTTTTGCTTTACTCATCAAACGATGGAAGATGAACTTGAAACCCCGTCTGTGTCTGATCGGTGAATCTCTTCCTGCAGGTTTCCTGAAGTCTCGGGACCGAACACAGCAGAAGTTCTACACTCAGCTGACGAGGACTCAGATGTTCACTCAGTTCATCGAGGAGTGTTCCTTCGTCAGCGACCGACACGCATGCCTCGAGTTCTTTGACGAGTGCGTCCAGAAGGTCAGAACTCGCCATCTCTTTGATTATCACTCGCACCTTCTTGCGGCGTCTTCACAGTAGGAGTCAAATGTGTTGTACTGTGAAACAGCTGCAGGAAACGTTGACTAACTGGAATTAAAGGAAATTAAAGTCCTATTTATTACATCGATCTCGGTTTGTACATGTTAACGATCAATCCTCCTAAACACTGAAGTTGGTCATGGAGTTCCACAAGGTTCTGTGCTTGGACCAAGTCTATTCACCTTATATGTGCTTTGTTTAGGCAACATAATTAGGAATCACTCCATTAACTTTCATTGTTATGCAGATGTAGGGATGTGCCACAAGTCAAATGTGCATAATGGAACGAAAACTAAATTTGTCACCACCTATGCAGATGATCCAATTATATCCAATTATATCTATCGATCAAGCCAGATGAAATTAATCAATTAACTAAACTACAAGCATGCCTTTAAGGAGATAAAAACATGGATGACCTGTATTTTTCTGATGTTAAACTTCTGATGTTAAAACTCTTATACAAACAACTTTGAACACATTATCTAAAGATATAGTATACAAATAAAAATGATGCATCCAATACATCTGTTCTGACTCCTCGTGGTGTCCTGAAGATGTGAAAAGCTGATTAATCTTATTGAGATAGGATTATTTTGTCTTTTTTTTTTTGTCTATTTTTAAGAATTTTGGGTGGAGATAATAATCTTTATTTTGAAGTTGTTTGCAATAAGAAAATTGAATGAAAAATTACAAAAACTGAAAACCAAGGAGGTATTTTGTTTGTCAAGTGAACCGGGCCTTAACAAGAAATAATAGAATAATATAAATAACCCAATAAAGAAACATATGATGAGTATTTATGGTCTCTAGGTGGATGTGGAGAAGCCGGAGGAGGTGAGGCTGATCGATCTGGACGAGACTCACAGTGGAGAACACACAGTCTTCATCATGCCTCCTGAAGAACCGCAGGAACCTGACGGGTCCGAGTGTCCGGCCCTCTACAGGTACGGAGTCACCAAAACGTCCTTGTGTGTGTCCACGTTTAAGATCATATGTGCTGATCAGATTTCTCCTATTCGTGTGTCCAGTTATGAAACCTTCCCGACACTGAGGCCAGACCTCTTCGAACGGCCCCAGGACCAGCTCCGGGTCCCGGCTAAGGGCAGCGCCGGCAGCGCCCCCAGTAGCCCCGCCCCCCGACGCACAAAACAGGTACAAAAACACAAAACATTCAAATAGATTCTCCTGTGATATGAGTAGTTTGAGCTCCCTCTGCAGATAAAAACGTCTCATTCTAAGGTAACAAAAACACAATGATTATTCAGCCAATTATACACTAATGAAAACATACCTATGGATATTATATTATATTCCTAACAATAGGAAGGATTAAAACACAATCTTTCACTGCACTTTCTTATATTGAGCCAAAATACAATTTTGCTTGTCTAGAATTATTAAAATTAGCATAAAAATCAGCCACTGAAAGACTGTAATGCCAAAAAAGGCAGAAGAAATGTAAAAAATGAATGCTAGCTAACGATTATCTAGCTAGTTATCTAGTGGGGTTTTACAGAAGATTCTTAAAATAAGTATTTTGTCACTTGAACCTTTATAATAATGAACAAATAAAGTCTTACAATAAGACACAATTTCTTCAAACAGCGTAATAAGAATAAGTGACTTTGTGTTAAATGAAGGCACCAGAAATATTCTTATTTTTATCAGTTTTTATTAAAACAAACACTTGCTTCATTTCAGATTTATTGGATAGTAACTCTAAGTACTTGTAATCTGTATCAGGAGAGTATAAATCTGATCGTTGCATCTTTAGACTCTGGTTTTACATTCTGACCCAGTTTCCTCTGAATGAAGAACGAAGGAGGAACCCTGTTAACTGTCTGACTGTGTATCATTTTATTTTAATGAATCATTATCAATATTTCACTGCTCATCCAATATTCAGCAGGCACAGACTGTGAATGTGAGTCGGTTCAGGCTGAATTATTCTGAAGATAAAAACGTCCAGTTTAACCAGATTATTTTCAACACTTATATACGTTTGATCTTTGTTTTATTCTGCATGTAGCAATTACGGCTCCTCTGCTGCTTTCATAACGGCAGCACATTATTTATTCCGGGATATCGACATGTCTTCATCTTCCAGGAAACAAAGAAGGTCTCTATGACGTTTACACCTAGAGGCCTGGGTTCCCCTCCTGGAAAACCTGGACAGGAAAATGACCAGTTATCCTGGAAATAATAGATAGATAGACTTTATTAATCCCCAAAGGGAAATTGGGTCGTCATAGCAGCCAGGTACAATAAAATACATTAAAATACAATAAAATAGAATAGAATAAAATACTTGAATAGAAAAGATAAAAAAAGATAAATCCATGTTAAATAAACAATCCATGTTGTCCTGGAAAATTTTAATTAAATTTTTTCCCCTCGCTCAGATAAAGCTGGGTGCCGAATAGTGAGCAACTGAGTGAATGCTGGAAAATGTCCTGGGAACCCTGACAGTCTCTGATGTGATATTTTTCCTCCCAGGAGATCAAGCTGGCCCAGAAGCGAGCCCAGAAGTACTCGGCGGTGCCGGACATGTGGTCCAAGTGCCTGCTGGGTCACTGTTACGGCCTCTGGTTCATCTACCTGCCCACCTTCGTCCGGGCGGAGAGCGCCAAGGTGCGCGCGCTGCACACGGCGTACGACGTCCTCAAACACATGGAGAACCGTAAGGTGGTGCTGCCGGACGAGGTGAGACTCTGGCGGGGTCCAAGGCTGTTCTGGTGTTGAATTAGGACTTCTGTTATTGCTCCTCGTTATTGTTCCAGACCGACACTTTAAGTGAGATAGATAGATAGATAGATAGATAGATAGATAGATAGATAGATAGATAGATAGATGATATTCTGTAGGTTCACACTGATAATCATAAGCTAACAATAGTTTATAGTTTATTTGACAGGATTTTGGTTTGGAGCGGTTATGGTGACGACCGTAGCAGGTGGAGGGCAGTAAAGCCGAACCCAAGACAGCGGACACACACAGTGTTTGAGTGAGTGTGTGTTGTGTGTTTCAGGTGTGTTACAGGATCCTGATGCAGCTGTGCGGTCAGTACGGTCAGCCGGTCCTCGCCGTTCGAGTCCTGCTGGAGATGAAGAAGGCTGGAATCACACCCAACACCATCACCTACGGATACTACAACAAGGTCCAAACACACACACACACACACACACACACACACACAAAAAAAAAGTCAGATAAGTGGATGGATGTTTGCATTAATAAGAGGTTTAATCAGCTGTCCTCTGTCCTCAGGCAGTGCTGGAGAGCAAGTGGCCCTCCACCAGTCAGGGCGGACGTCTCCGCTGGGCCAAGCTGAGGAACGTCCTATTGGCTGTGGCCCAGTTCAGACAGCCAATCAGACGACGGCAGAAGAGCGGCTCAGTGGGGTCGCGCGGAGGTCAGAGAAGATTTACTTTTACTTTTCATACATTTAGCTGATTATTCTTACCTACTTTTACTGAAGTAAGGTTTAAAATGCAAGATTTGTACTTCTCTAAAGAATATGACGAGTTCTTCCACCGCTGATCGTTTGCAGTCGTGGTGTCTGTCTCCATTAAACAGAGTGATCATAAACATCAATAATCAAACCTCTGGAGTCATTCTTTTAAAAGTTAAAGTTAAAAAATGTAATTTATTCTGTTTGTTTTAAAGAAGCGATGATGGACCCCGATCTGAGGCCTCGCCCCCACTCCAATCTGATCCGTCAGTCCAGTTGGAGCGGTCTGTCTGAAAGCTCCAGTCACGAGTCTCTGACGGGTTCACTGGTGAAGAGCAACAGTCTGAGCAGCATGAAGACGCCGACTGACCGTAAGCAAAGTGTTCTGTGGGAACCACCGGTGGATGGAGGCTGTGGTTTTACCCTTTTTACTCTCAGTAGTAGTTCAGTCGTCTCCCTTTCTGCCCCTCAGAGGTGAAGCTCGGCAAGAAGACCATCCTCCGTAATGTGGGGACCAACGGCTGCGGTGACGCCGTCTCCCGTAAACCTCCAATGGGACGCAGAGACACCTCCACCCCGCCTCCAGCGCCCCCCGGTGGTGTTCTGGTTCGGCGGAGCCAGGTCTGCCTGTCCACCTTCTACAAAGAGTGCGCAGAGTCGGCCGACTCAGAGCCGGACTGCGGCTGCCAGCCCGCACAGAGAGACGGCAGGTCAGTCAGTCAGGACGGAAAGTCTGCTCAAAGCTGGATCCATTTTATCTTATATTAGTGGAGCTGGGTAATATTTCTGGACCTAGTTAACCTTTTTATGTCAATTTTAGATACAAAATCGCTTTCAAGTAATTTGCCTCCACTGACAGAGGATAGTTACAGTCTCACATTTACTGATTTACTCAAAAATGTTACTTTCCACTAGTTTTGTAAACTTCACGTCATTCATCTTTTGCCCTTTGACCTCCAGACCTGCAGGAACGCGCGACACAGCCGGCAGAAATAAAGTCGTAGACGAGAACTACAACAACGTCTCCTCCCCTAGTCGAGGAGGTCTGGCGGGGAAACTCCAGCAGCTTCTCACTCCGACCAGACACCGAGTGTCTGTTCGACGAGCCGCCAGCGTGGACGACCGGCGACCAGGAGGAGGAGGAGGAGGGATAGGACGAAGGGTGTCTGAACAGAGGCAGTCCAGGAAAGCTCAAGTGGCTGAAACGCTTCTGAAAGCCAAGGACAGGCTGGTCAGCGCCACCTCAGAGGTTCGACTGCTCGTATCTGAATCAGCTTTATTCTGAAAGTGTCTTTGTTCCAACAATCACCAACTCTGGTTCGGTGGAAATAAATCTTTAATTCTCTGACTGCAGTTTCAGTCGTTCACCATCTTCTGTCTACTAATCTGGTGCCATGTCGTCTTTCCTTTAGAGTTCGTTGTCTGTAGGAAGTGACCTTGACTTGACGGACACGCCCAGTCCGGCCTATCCCCTGCGCAGGTCCTGGGACGCCAATCAAGAGGGGACGGGGCTCGAGGTAAATGGATCCGTCCTGCAGCAGCTTGCGTCCGACCCTCCCCTCTCTGTTACCGCTGACACCTCCCTCCATCTCTCTCTCTCTCTCTCTCTCTCTCTCTCTCTCTCTCTCTGTCTGTGTGTCCAGGTGTTGATGTCCAGCTGCTCTCTGTGTCGCAGCTGTAACTCGCTGGTTTACGACGAGGAGATCATGGCCAGCTGGACGTCAGACGACTCCAACCTGAACTCGTCCTGCCCATTCTGCTGCGCCTCCTTCGTCCCGTTCCTGAACGCTGAGATCTGTGACTTCGGACCCGTCAGCAGGTACATGCTTTCACACAACTGAGCTCCAACTGGGCGAGGTCAAAGGTCATCACTGCAAGTCTTTGTCTGTGTCTGTTGGAATAAACACAATGAATGTAATTCTCAAATGAGACATTTGTCTTCCAGTTTTTTTCCCATTAAGAAAAAGATACGTTGGATTGCTGTTATTTTATAAAAACATGTATGCAAGTAACACGAGATAAAAACTTCTGAGTAAACAATTCCAGATTAAATTACATTTAAAACAGGTTTACAGGTTGGCTAAGATCTTTGTTTGGATGTTACTGGGAGCAGGCGGAAGAAAATAGTAAAGTTTTTAGGGAACAACACGGCGTCGCCCTCAGGAATCTGTATCTGTTATATATCGTTCCTCCGCACAGACGGCGTGTTCAGTTTAAGAGTTTCCTCTGTGTCCATTTCTGTCAGTGCGGAGCGAAGCAACTGGAATGCGGAGGACGAGGTGGAGAGCGCGGTGCGGCCCCCCAGTGGTCAGGAGGCGTCCCTGCGACACCAGTGCAACGGCCTGAGCGAAGACTCCAGCTCCGAGACCAGCAGCTACTCAGAGAACAGCAGAACAACCACAGTAAGGCACATTTATTACCACTCCGTCACGCTTCCTGTTGCTTTACCGTCCTCTCGCTGACCGTCTCTCTGCCCCCTCCCTCAGGGCTCCTCAGTGGGCGGAGCTCCCCAGGTGACGGTGGCCTACCTGAGCCCTCTGGTTCTGAGGAAGGAGCTGGAGAGTCTGCTGGAGAACGAGGGCGAGGCGGTGCTGGCCCAGCCGCAGTTCCTGGAAAACCACTCCATCATCTTCTGGAACCTGGTCTGGTACTTCCAGCGCCTCGGCCTGCCCAGTAACCTGCTGCAGCTGGTCAAAGCCTCGCCGCTGGTCAGCCAGTTCACACAGGTGACACACACACGGCCCTCCGTCCCGTCAGACTGAAGCCGAATCATCTGTAAACAGTAGAGACACGTTCACATCCAGAGATCCACAGTATAGTTACTGTTCTGTTGTTCCTTCATTCAGTCGCTGGACTCAACCTTTCAGCTATGTGTAGATCTTTGTTTCAAAGAGCTCTAGAAACATTAAAACCAGAAAGTCTTCAAGAAGCTGCAGAGCTACAGCTTCATGTCTACAACAGCACACAAACAAATAAAACCAGTAAATTCAAATATAAGATCAAAGATTTACAGTCCAGATTTATTATTCAGCCCAGAAAAGATTAAACAAACAGGAATTTCTGATTTGTGGGAATGACCCTTTAAGATAAAGTAATAAAGACTTTCTCTGTCTCTCTTTGTGCAGTCTGAGAACTCCACGGTGAGAGTGAGGCTCCTCTGGGACACCCTGACCCCCGACACAGACCAGTGGCCCCCGCTCTACATCCTCTGGAGGATCCACAGTAAGACAAAGACGCACTCTGATACACAGCAACAAGAGCCTCCGCTGTCTGTAATGTTTTTATCTTTCCGACGGGACTCGCTGTAATATCTCTCGTCCCCCACCAGGTGGCGTCCCGATGAGAAGCTACGGCTGGAGGAGACACAACCACCCGTTCACGCTGTCCTTCCTGGAGGAGGTGCTGCGCTGGGTCGGCATGAACGAGGTGCACAAAGCCGTCACCCTCTTCCTGGATACGCTGGCTAAACAGCCGGGCTCGCCCTCGACTCAGAGGTGATTATTCACACTGGCTGTAGATCGCCGGTTAGAACAGTTCCCAGAGAATAAAGAAGTTCTCCTACAAGAGTTTAATCAGTAAAATGTGTAAAATCTCCAATGACGAGCTGGAACATGGCATCTTTTCAACGTTGCACGGCTAGCATATAGCATCTCTAAGTACAGGAAAGGGGAGGGAAATGTGGGCGGGACTTAGGAAGGGTCAATTTAAAGTTGAGAGTCGTATAAGTTGGTAATGAATGAACGTTGTGTGTTTTTGTGTTTGACAGGAGTTTGTACAGAGAGTTCCTCTTCCTCACGCTGGCAGCTATGGGCAAAGATCACGTCGGTAAGACGGACGGATTAAGGTTTAATTACACACTACTGCAGCTAATACTGAAATAACCTTGATAATAACCCTGTCCTCCCTCCCCCTCCGCAGCGGCGTTCGATAAGAAGTTCAAGGCGGCGTACACTCGGCTCAGCGGCACTCTGGGTCAAGAGGAGCTCCGGAAGAAGCGAGCTCAGCCTCTGAGCCCCAAAGCCATCGACTGCAGACGCAGCTTCCACCCGCCGCTCGAGTGCTGATCCTCCAGGAACAGAAGGTCCCTGACGGCTCCTGCAGCGAGGGGAAGAGGAGAACCGGCAACCCCCGCACCGCCGCCGCTACGCTGCTGCCTTCACCTGCTCGTATTCTTCACCTCTCCGCTGCCTCCTGGTGGACGCCGGAGCGACGCGCTCCTTCCCGTAGCTCCGTTTGTCTCGTCGATGTGAATCCAGCTCTTCGTCTCCGTTAAAGATCCTGATGGAGCTGGACTGAAGAGCTCGTCCACAAACACACGCTTCTCTCAACAAAGCTGAGCCGAGATCTGTGCAGCGAGGGCGAGCTCGCCGGGCGGGAAGCTCGGGTCCGTGCGTGTCCAGAGGGATCGGCTGCGTCTGGTTTTAGGTTTTTCCCAGATTTTCTTTTTTAATGATTAAAATCAGACCTCAAAGTCCCCGAAGAGCTCGTCATCGGACTGAAAGAGTTGTAGGACGTCAGATTGATCGAGGAAGAGAATCAGAATCCATCAAACACGACAAACACGACCCAGAAAGAAGCTTCAGACTTCTGATCGTCTGTATCACGATCAATCCGCCTCGTTTAAAAGGGAAGAAACTTAACGTACGTCATCGAGGAAACAACCGGCGTTCCCACGGTACTACAGTCACAATCCTTCCAGATCTTCTGTTGGTCTTCCAGACAGTTTGAAATACGGAGCTGCGACACGTTTTAAGGTTTTGAACATTTTCCGGGAACTGATCCTTTGAGCTCGCGTGGCGTCATCCGTCAGCGGGGGCTGTCGCGGTGATTCAGGGCGGCTCAGCGTCGCGCTATTATCGCCCTTTCTGTTGGTTTTTAGTAAATGCTGTGTAAAAGGTTTCTGCGGGGACAGTGTTCGATCTCCCTCCTCCTGCGGCCCCGGTCTGTGGTTCTGTTAACTGGAGACAACAGTTAGTTAACGCACGTTAGTCGCTAGTTAACAGGGTCGCTCCTTCAGCAGCTACAGATAAAGGCAGCCGTACGTCACGCTCTCGTCTCGTCGCTACGGAGTCAACGTGAGCAGATTGTGTCTGTAGATTGAAGAGAATCAGAAAAGAGTCTCAGTGTTGGTGGAAATAAAGTTTTTACTGAGAAAAATTATGATCCGACCTTAAAACAGCTGCTTTTAGACGGAGTTTGGTTTGACGGTGTGGAGCAGAGTTTTTTAACCTTAAAGTCTGTGGCGAACTGCGTCTCCTCAGCTCTCGCCGTCCTGGGCGGCGCTTTCTCGTACCGCGACAGCCCCAACGTCAGCTTCGGGAGGACGACGGGACTGTTAGCAGCTGCAAACGTCGTAGCTTCTGATTAATGTAATAACTAATTAAAATGTCCTTTTTAAACGTGTTAAATTGGTTTTAAATTGAGGTAAAAACGTCACATTATTACATTTACTGCTGATTATTGTGTAAACTCTGTATTATAGGAGAGTAGATAAAGTTATTTATGACTTAAATAAACAGAGTTTGTGTGATAATGTGAGATTTTCCAGTTAAAGGACGTTGTTACATTAAACAGCAGTTATTCTTTCTCAGCTGTTGAATGGTGACAGACTGTATTCAGTTTTTATTTTTATTTAAAGGGAGTTTGAGGAAACTGTCTGAGTGGTTGATGGACGTTAATGTTTGTGTCGACGCTTCAGGAACCCACTCGTTGTTTTTCGGCTGGTTGCGTTTGGGCCGAGTTTTATTTAACTTTTAAGGTTTTTATCAAACTAAAACAAACAAAAAACCCAAAAGCAGCAACCTGAAGTTCATCTAACGGCCACTAGAGGCACCAGCAGTGATGTACGGAAGACTGCAACTGCCAATATCAAAAATAAATAAATACTAAACATTAAATTTAGGGAGGCACAATATGGATATTTTACAATAATGGATCATTTCACATTTTTTCGATTTTAAAAAGCAATTAATAATAGTTTTTACATACTTGATGCTGAGATATAGTGAGCAAAGATCTGTTCTACCTAAATCTAACTGACATCACTATTGTTTACAACAACAACAACAGCAACAACAAACAGTTCTGACTCTTTTTCAGTTCATTAAACAACAAACATAAAGTTCATCAATCTTTTTTTAGATTATTGTCACGTAAAGGTTGAGGAATCTCGTCCCGAACCAGACGCTGTGCAGAGAGCGACTCGTTGCGACTGAGCGTCCTGTGGAGCATGCTCAGTTTGACCTGATGCACATTCACCTTCCTGTCTGTCTGTCTGACTGAGTGTCTGTCTGTCTGACTGTCTGCGAGACATCCAGTAGGTCAGCTGACCAGTTCGACCTCCTACTAAGCAGCAGCTCTGCTAACAGTTTAGCTCCGGGGCTTCTCAGCAAATCAGCAGGGATTTGAACCCTCAACCTCATTTTAGACGAAATCCAGAATATTAAAATACGATGAAAATAGTTTAAACATTTTATATCTCCGATATTGATCAGATATTAATCAATCAGTTCAGGTTTAATCAGGAAATTGATCTCGTTTTAACTCTCTCACCAATAATGTAAACAGGATGTGTAAATCATTATAATACAGCGATTAAACCAAAATAAGATTGTAATCAGAAATTCCTTCTTTTGGAGGACCGCAAGTGCCAAAATCAGGACTCAATAAATAAATAGATATGCAATTAAAATGCACTTAAAATATTAAAATAAACGCAGCCATTCATTTATGTATAAAATTTGACATAGTTGATATTTATGCTAAACTATACTTTTACATTTAATTAAACATTTAATTTATTACTTTAAAAAAAAATTTTGTTTAATTTCCCCTTTACATTTTTACCCCGTATTTATTTCCCCATACTTATTTATTTATGTTTTCTTTTTACATTCCTGCCTCATTATGCAAATGAGTTGGCTGTCATGCAGAAATAAATCAGTTTTGGGGAAATAAATAAATAAATCTATTTAAAAAAGGAATAAATTATTAAATCAAATGTAAAATTAAATGGGGAAAGTAGGTGAATTAAAAACAGAAATATCAGTTTATTTCGCATTTTATAAATTAATGCCCACTTTTATTTTAGTATTAATTTTGGTGCATTTATTTGGACATATTAATTTATTTAAGTCATGTGTTTGGCAGGTGCGATCCTCCACACATTCCCTGCTGCAGCCAGGAGCCTCGGAGAAAAAACAAATAACTAAATCTGTATCTGCAAACTCTTTTAGTGTGAAAATATCGAGTCAAACTTTTAAAAAAGTGGAAGTTTACTGTTGTTTTTTAATGTGGCGGCTCAGTGTTTGTCGGCTGAGAGAAGATTGTGAGCGAAGGACGGTTCACTGCAGCAGCTTCACTGTCACAGAGAAAAAACCCTTCACTGTATATTTGAACGCACTGGACGTCAGTAATTTAAGGGAATTTAACTTTGTGTTGCCGGTTGTTTTATTGGTTGGATGATTACAGTCAGCGGAGGAGAGGAGCGTATTTAAAATAGATAATTGTGTTTGCTGTTGTAATTTATATATGGCTGTGATTTTGAGTTGTAAATGTTTGTTTTTTTAAGAAAACACAAAAATAAAAGACCGGGATGAGCCCCCCAAAAAATGTGTGATTTTGTTCCACTTTGTTGTTTATAAAAGATATTTTATTATGATTAGCAGGCTGCAGTAAATTAACCCTCGGTGGTCGTGTGAAGTTTCACTGAGTTAGTGCAATCTAAACAGGAAGTGTACCTTCAAAATAAGTGCATTATGTGACTTTTACAGGAGGACTCATTTAAAATCGTTGAAAAACTTAAAATCTCAATTAGAAACTAAAATAAAGCTTAAAACCAGGATTATACTTTAAATATATACAGTAGTTATATTGTGGTACACTGTCAATAAAAAAGCCCAAAACTGTAGAATAACAAAATAACTGACTCATAAAAATGACTGACACTGATAAAAACTGTATTTTGACAGTTTACCAATGCTTATACACTGATAAACAACATTTATTCAATGTCTGTGTTAAACTTCCATCATTATTTGGATTATGTATTTTATCTGATAACAAATTTTACATCATTTAAAAAATATATTAACAGCATTAAATTAAAATCTTACATACAATTGTTACATATACAAAAAAAATATAGATTTGCATTAAATTAATTGTAATCTTTAAATAAGCAGTAATTTTTATAATTATTTAGTTCACATTATTTTGCATCAAATATGTAAATTCACAGGATGTTTTTGTAATAATTATAATGTTTCTACGTATTTAAAAATATAGAAAATCCTGTAAATGTTCAGATTTATTTTACAGTGTTTTATTTAGCATTTAATGCACGTTGTCTTTTATTGGTGTGTAAAGTAGATAAAGGTAAGTTGTTCTACAGGAATAAGTTACATTTTCAAAAATACACCTTTAAATATCATTGTGTATAATAATAACAACAATAATAATACAAATAAGAACAAAAAGATAAAGATAATTTATTTAAAATGTGTTTTAAAAACAACAGTTTATCCAGAAATTGTCTCTTTCATATAATTTTGTTATCTTACAGAAAATATGCTCACAGGCTATTTTATTAAATCTAATTTTAAACTTATTTTAAAATATATATTACACTGTTAGTCTATAATCGGTTTCAGCTGACAAACTCTACAGCAACAGAAGTGTACTTTTATTGATTGATTTATTGATTAATTGATTTATTGATTCGGTTTAAAGTTACGGGGACAGTTAATGAACATTTTTAGTTTCTTTCTGGCTAATTTCCAGCTGCAGATCAGGAGCAGGTACAATGGCGGCTACATAATCAATAAATCAGACTTTATATATAAAAACACTCACAGTCAATTTAATTTGGTCGGAATTGGGCTTCCATAGAATGTATTTTATTTTGAAAATCGATGACCGGATGTCGTGTATTTTCGCTGACTCGACACTGGTCGTGTTTTCTCGGCACACAAATTCAGCACCAGTAACCAATTAAACCCCACCCAGTGAGGCTCCAGTATGTAACCGGTGGGACGGACCGGGTCCACGCTGGAGAACCAGTAAGAGCCACCGGGAGGACCGGGAACCAGGTGGGTCTCATTTAACGGTCAAAACCGGCTCCGACGACAGGAGGGCTGATTGGGTTTGTTGTTGTTGTTGTTGTTTTCTGTATAATAACTGAAGTAAATTTGGTTGTTTGTTGACAAACATTAACGTTAGCTGTCATTCTCCTCCGTTGTTAGCCTGCGTCGTTTACACCAGACTCCGTTTACAAATCCTTCAATATAAGCGGCTCTCACAGGTAAAGATAACGCAGCCGGTGTCACAGACAGACCCTCTCAAAGAGTTGGAAGTTTTAGTGGAAGACGTGTTATTTATTGTGATTAATGTGTGCCGATTTTAAAAGTGGTGAACTGAGATACAGAAAGTGGTTTAATGAATTAGTTCTAGGTTATATATCTGTATCCGCAAACAAGGGAACTTTAAACTGATGTGAATTTAAACGGAGTTTGGAGCGAAGGTCTTTTTAAGGAGCGGAAGCTGCGCATCATTTTGGCAGACACACACGAGCTGTTGCGACGTTTATTCGGTGTTTTTGTTGTTTGTAATAAAATCCAGTTAACATGAGTTTATTGTAATAAAAGGGGTTTTTCGGTGGATGGAAGGTGCGTTTATTTTCTGTCACTGAGCAGCGGGTTTACTGCTGCTGGGCGGGGCTTCCGGTGGCGCTGTCCGGCAGCGTGGTGCTGAAACACACACACACACACACACACACACACACACACACACACACACACACACACACTGTAGACAATGTGACTTATGTATAAATATGTACTGGAAGGAAAATTAGTGACAACAAAATGATGTTTTTTTTATTAATATTCTTCCATGAATGTTTAATTTAAACTTAATTTAATTTAATTAAATGTTTTTGTCTCTTCTTGATTGTAAAGGAGGTCAGACAACTTTAAATATACACAGGACACTGTAAAACCTGATCTTTAATTAAAAAAACTAAACTAACTAAAAAAAAAATCAATAAACAAAACAAACTCTATTTTCTAATTTAAGTAGTTTTAATATTTTAATTGACTTAATTTTTTTTTTTTTACTGTGAAAATAAAGTAAAAGCTGCTTTAATCACTAATCTTTATTAACTTGAATAATTGAGTTTGTGTTACTTAATATTTAATATATCAGATTACATTTATATATAACGTAAAGAGCTGAATGAGGAGAAAACTCTGAATTCATTAAAGAGTTTGATTGATAAAGAAACAGAATCGTATAAAAAGTTCCCTAAACACGAAATAATCTGTTTACACAAAATGTCAGTTGCTGAGTTCACTGATTTCTTCTGATCACACGAACAATCAATAAAGCAGCTTATCAGAGTTAAAGATGGAGGTTGGGACGATCAATAACTTCACAGGATCAATGTTTCTTTTTATTAACTGCAGAACTTTTATCTGATTTTACTTTATATCTTTTATGTTTTTCTTCTTTTATCTGGTTGAAGTTTTCTTTAAATTGATGATTTTATAACTTTGTTTTTATTGTTTTTTGTGTATAAATAAAGAATATTATCATTATTATATATAATTTAATATAATATATATAATATATATAACTGGTTAGGAAACAGTCTCAGTTTAGTATTGATGACAACATCATTTCCTTAAGGGGGCCTTTTTCTGTCACTGAGTAAACTGTCTATATTTTATGGATATTTCATATTCTAATAATCAATAATCAATATCAATAACAGCAGAGAACAGCTGATAAACTGATCAATGAACCCAAACAGTGAATTCAGTAACTGCAGGAAGTTTAAATCCAGAGATTTGGATGAAGTCTGAGCAGATTATTTCCAGTAAATATTGATTGATTAACAATCATACAGATTTAATATTCTTCTTTCTGACAGATTCACTGTTTCTAAAGCAGGACGAGGTTGTTTATCAAAGACTGAACTCCGTATATATCTATATTTATAAAGTTTACACCCCCAGTGAAGCTCTGGCGACCCCTCGTGGTTATTTATTAATGTCTGCCAGCGGGTCGGTTTCCCCTTGAAATCAATGAAACGAGGCGGTAGAAACAGTACCGCGTCTGTCCACTAGGGGGCGCCAGAATCGCCCCTCTGGCGTCTGCGTGTCTGAAGCTGTTTGTTTGTTTCAGGCTGCAGATTCTCCGACTGAGCGACCATGTGGGAGAAGAGGTTCCTGCTGCTGCTGCACGCCGTCGAAGGTACGGCGCTCACGTTGGGATTTAAGGAAGTTTATTAGTAACAAAACTACAGATTTGTGATTCTACTTACGAACATAAATGTATTTTTAATAGAATTATACGTTAAATATTTTATAACACGGTTGTTTTGTGTTGCAGCTGTAGTGGCGTCTCAGTGCTGGCAGGGGGCGACCTTCTCCGAGGCGGTGGTGTCTCCGGCGGTGGAGAGCAGCGGTATCTTTCGGGTCCCCGGCGTGGCGTCCCTGCCGCAGTGCGTGGCGGCGTGCTGCGACCTGCCGGGTTACGACCTGGCCTGGCTGTTCGAGGGCCGCTGCTACATCCTGACCTGCCAGCAGAGGGAGAACTGCCAGCCCCGACAGAGACCCGGCGCTGACTCCGTCCTCGCCTTCCTGCGGAGGTCATCGCCGCCGCAGACGCTGGTGCTGCAGTCTCTGGTGAGAGGAGAGCCGTACGGCGGCCGCTGGAGGCCCCTCTTGCGGTCCTCCGAGGCCCCCGGGGACCTGGAGGCCCTGAAGGACCTCGCCCTGTTCGACGGGCCCCGGCAGGACTTCTCCCACCCCGGCGTGCTGGATGTGGAGTATTCAGAGCGGAGCCAGGAGGAGAGGGGAGGGCCCGGCTCGGAGGCGGAGACCGACCCTCCGTCCTTGAAAGGAGGAGACGGGTTCAACCAATCAGAGACGGAGGACGGACCAGAGGGGGGGGCGACAGGAAGCAGCGTGGCCCAGATCAGAGCCTCGTCTGGGGGTAACGTCAGTGAGGGAGAGGAGGACAGAACCAGGAGACCGACTGATCCCACTGCTGCAGAGGAAACTGTAAGTTAATCAGGTTAATCAACTAAAAGTTTAATTTACAGATTTTTCTGTATTTTTTATATTACAAAAATATCCTGTGAATTTACATGTTTAATGTAAAATAACGTGAAACATCTGTTACTGTAATAATAATCAAAAATCACTGATTATTCATAGAAAATTTCCATTTTCTCACATAAAAAGATTAAAATAAGTTGCAAATCAATAGTTTAAGATATTTACTGTTTATTTAATAGATTAAACTGTTAAATTCAAGTTTAATTCTGTAAATACGTTTTAAAATTATGTAAAATTAGTGACATTAACAGTAAAACGTATTTGTTGCGTAACTTTAATGGATTTGTTTGTTAACTGACAGATATCTTGTATAATGATGAAAGCTGAATAAATGTTGTTTATCAGTGTAAACAACAATAATTACTGTAATTTCACAGATAATGACTTTTATTACAGTTCTATAACTTTTAACATTCCGATTTAAACAGTAATTTAAACCTGATTATTTGTATTATAGCAGTTCACCCGTCATTTAATTGGTTTCACAGTGTAAATATCTTAAATTAAATTAATTACACAAGATTTCATGTAAAATTAAAGCTAAAAACTGTATTTTAGTTATAGAACAGTGTATAGTTGCAGTAAAAGTGTATTTTTATTCATTTTCTTTCAGACGGACACACGAAGCAGCTCTGATTCAACATCTCTGAGTCAGTTGTTGACAACTGACTCCACCCAACACGACCATATATGGACAGCACTTCCCACTGCTGCCACGCCCCATCGGCCCGTCAGCACGTCCACACAGCCGGGTCGACCCGAGAGTACGCCGTCATCATTGTTTAACAACCACGTTCAAAACATCTCAAGCACAACTCTGCTAACTGCTAATGTAGCTGCTGTTCACTGGGAGCTTTCACATCTGTATTATTGCCTTATATTTATATTTATATTTATATTTATATTTATATAGTTTCTTTATGGTTATTATTGGTGTTATGTGCCTCTTTTTTTAACCGTAGTTTAACTTGTGCAGCACATCGTTCTAAATATGTTTTATAAATAAAATTAATTTGATATGATTCATTATAGGATTTGCTTTTGTTGCATGAAGTGAATTTTTTTTTACATTAAAACATTAAAACAGCTTTTGTTCACCTGCAGACCGACCCCTGTTGATGACCCCTGGAAACCCCGTAGAGCGGACGTTGCCCACAGTTAAACTTCATGCTCCAGTTTCCCCTGAACCCACAACTGGTACACACACACCACACACACACACACTCACACACACACACACACACACACACACTCACACTCACACACTCTCTCTCACACACACACACACACACACACACACACACACACACACACACATACAAATACCTCTTTTTATTTAGAATTACATTTACAGTGTTTTATTTATTTTAAAGCTCCAGTTGGTAAAAAATATAAAAAGAAATATCAATAAAAAGTATTGATTCAAGTATCTTCTGTAAGAAGTACATGTAACTGTAATCTGATTACACTTTAACACATGACGGGCCCTTTAAAGCTGCAGTAGAGCCAATAATGTGTTGGTATAAATATTAAATTTAAATACATATTAGACCTTTTGTCTCTTTTCAACTATTATATACAACTTCCTTGAATTTGTGGAACGTGTGTGTGTGTGTGTATATATATATATTTATTTATTTTTTGCAAGATGTAATCAGATTACAGTTAAACTACACACAGCAGAGGACACATTTTTAATGCTAAAAATCTCTTTTCTTACAGAATATACTTAAATCAATACTTTTTATTGATGTTTCTTTTCTTAATTCGAGTTAAAAGTGTTCAAGTTACTTTGATATTGTGATACATTGATTAGTTTACTGACTACATTTTTTTAATCAGTAATTGTATCAGATTACATTTTTAAAGTAACCCTCCGAACCCTTTTGTAAAACCCTTAAAGGGACAGTTCACATGTTGTTGTGTTCTCTTGGTGCTCCACAGATCTGTTGAAGGTTCTCCAATCAGCAGCCAGAGCTCCACCGACCAGAACCCTGACCTCTGACCCCAGCACCAGCACCAATCCTCCAACCATGACCACAGCCTCTGCTACGACCACCGCACAGTCTGGTAAATGTATGAAAACAGTTGATATATATAAATATATAGCCTAGCACATAGTGTATCTAAGTACAGGCCCGGAGGAAGGGGACCGAGGTTCTGATCGAGGGTTGCTCAAAAGGGGGCGGAGCTTAATGTGGGTCAATATTATCTGTCCTTTCATATCCCTTCATTAGCGTTTACTAGCTACGGATTCCAGTTTTAAATATACCATAATCACTTTTACCCCCCTCCCTCCGCCCAGCATCAGAGGTCAGGGGGTCAAACCGTGGCCCGGTGGCGGTCGTGGGTCCCGACAGGAAGTTGTTCCTCCCGTTGAGCAGCTTGACGCTCGACGGCAGCGGGAGCACCGACGACCACGGCATCATCAGCTACCGCTGGGACGCAGTCAGGTGGGACGCCAACAGTCGGCCATGTTTGGGTAAATGTTTTTAACTGTGGTTTTAACAACATGTTTTTTTCCCAGCGGTCCTCCGGGCTTAAAGCTGGAGGGGGTGGACCAGGCAGTTGCCACGGCAACGGGCCTTCGATTGGGACGCTACACCTTCAGACTGACCGTCTCCGACCAGGAGGGGGCGACAGGCAGCGCCTCACTGACTGTCAGAGTGGAGGAAGGTAAGAGGGTTTATATTCACACCCCTAAAGAACCGACCAGTGACACCGGCTCAAAGGTTCCTCTGTCGTCGTTCCTCCTGCAGCAACAAGTCTTCCTCCCGTCGCTCACGCCAGCGGCAGCCACACCCTCAGTCTGCCCAACAACTCTCTGGTCCTCCGAGGCTCCGTGACCGACGGGGACCAGACCGAGGTCCACTACCTGTGGGTCAGAGACAGCCAGAGTCCTGCTGCTGGGGTCAGTACGGAGCACTCTTCTTCCATAACGTCTTAAACTGAACGGATTACGTTGGATCATTTTTAAATAGTTGAGTTTAAAACAAACATTATATTTAAGTAAATGCCTGTTTGCAGGACGTGCTGTATGGCTCAGACACTCAGGCCTCCCTCTACCTGTCCAACCTGGTCGAGGGCACCTACCTGTTCCAGCTGAGGGTGACCGACGCCCAGGGGCGCTCCAGCACCGCCGCGGCCACCGTGGAGGTCCGACCAGGTAGGACGAGAACAGAAACTACTACTTGGTTTTTATTGACGGACACATGCTGACGTGAGAGCGGCTGTTGTTGTGTCCCTGCCGTGTCTCCGTAGAGCCCGGCGGCGGGGAGGAGGTGGAGCTGGAGATGTTGGTGTCAGTCTCTCAGGTCAGTGTGGCTCAGAGGGACACGGTGGTCCGACAGCTCGCCGCTCTGCTCCACGTCCTCGACAGCGACGTCCAGGTCCGAGCACTGCAGGGACACTCACACCTAAGGTACCTGATTCCTCTGTATTAGATGCTGTTTGGATGCTAAATGACTTTTATTAAAAATAAAAGAAAGATAAAATGATTCAAATGATTGTTGTAATAGTTTCTGTTTCTTGCTGTGCAGCACGGTGTTGCGGTTCTCGGTGCGTGGCCCCTCGGGGCCGATCTCGGGCTCCAGGCTGGTTGGTCTGCTGAGAAACCAGCTGCTCAGAGAGAAGAGCGACTACCTGCTGTTCAGAGTCCTGAGAGTCGACACAGTCTGTGAGTTCAAAATGACACACTGACCTTTGCTATGTGGGTTGTGCACTAATCAGACGAAACAAACAACTTTATTAATTATTATTATTTAAGTTTGATGTTCTTTAACACGTTAAATAATTGAACATACACATTGCTGAGAGCTCTTTCACTCTGTGTTGCTGCCAAAGTATTGTAAACGACAGCGCCCTCTGCTGGATAAGCTGTGCACAGACACCAGTATATAACCCCCTCCAGTATTATTGTTGTTATATATCGGATATCAGATAACACGTACATCAATGCTGATATGTCTGCGATCTTAAGTTTTATTTATTTATTTTGAGTATTTTTTGGGGCTACTATGATAAGACAGCTGAAGATGGACAGGAAAGGGGGGGAGAGAGAGGGGATGACACGCAGTAAAGGGCCGCAGGTCGGATTCGAACCCTGGGCCGCTGCAGCAAGGACTCAGCCTCGTTATGAGTCGCCAGCTCTACCCACTGAGCTAACCTGGCTCCTGATGTCTGCGATCTTTGTTGCATTTTACCCAATTATTACTGAAGTAGCTGAAGAAACTCCATTAGTTTTAATTTGACATGGCTCTGGATGTAGAGGTGGTCATCCACTGATCACAGGGTTGGCGGTTCGATCCCTGGCTCCTCCTGCTGAAGTGTCCTTAGGCGAGAAACTGAACCCTGACTCTGACTGACTTTATTCAACAAATTAAATTAAATTACACCGATGTGCGTCAGAATATAAAAATACAGCCAAGTCAGACTTATTTCCACTTTCGCCCCCGTTTTCATTCAGTGTGCTTGCTTCGCTGTTCGGGGCGTGGCCAGTGTGATCCAATCACCAAGGAGTGCACATGCGACCCCTTCTGGACGGAGAACCTGATTCGGCGTTACCTTGGCGACGGAGAGAGCAACTGTGGTAATTATAAGCACTAATTGCCCCTAAAGACTTTATTGATCACACACTGGAGATACAACACAGCAGTCTGATGTCGGGGCTCACTCTGTTCTCCCTGTCAGAGTGGAGGGTGCTGTACGTCATCCTGACCAGCTTCATGCTCATGGTCTTCATCCTGTCGGTCGGCTGGACCTTCATCTGCTGCTGCAAGAGGTGAACGCACGTTTACAGACCGTACACCGATCCCAGACTTCACAACTCCAAACCTGTTATTCAGATTTCTACGGAAGCCCATTTCTGCCGATGTGAGGGAAAAAAATAAATATTACTGTCTCTGAACGTGTTTGTCGACTGTGTTTAGGAGGAGGCAGACCAAAGTGAGGAAGAAAACCAAATACACCATCCTGGACAACATGGACGAACAGGAGAGGGTGGAGCTCCGACCCAAATTCAGTGAGTCACTTCAGTCCAGAGTCTGTGCGACTGTAGACTTACACCTTTGTTTGATCATATACATGAGATACAATAGGTGTAAGTTAAAGGTTATATATATTTATATATATATAAAAAAAATATTCACTTGCTACACCAAAACAATGGCTGTTATGACCAGCCAGGCTCCAAAGACAAAACCAGTCATTTTACCTGGCAGATAATTGTAAAACAAAATGAAACTCAAATTGTCTGTTAGTCTTTCCAACAATCACCAACTCTGGTTTGGTGGAAATAAATCCTCAATTCACCGACGTAGATGGGGAAATATTTGTGAAAAGGGTTTCAACACAAGCCAACGTTAATCCTTGGGGACAAATGAGCCGTTAAAGTGCGTCCACTAACAGTAGTTTGTTCCACTGACAGTAGTTGTTGTAGTTTGTTCCACTAACAGTAGTTGTTGTTTGTTCCACTGACAGTAGTTGTTGTTTGTTCCACTGACAGTTGTTGTTGTTGTTTGTTCCCTACGTTTGTTGTTTTCATAAGTGTTTTGTCACGGTTTGTTTGTCCATAACAGTAGTTGTTGTTTGTTCCACTGACAGTTGTTGTTGTTGTTTGTTCCACTGACAGTAGTTGTTGTTTGTTCCACTAACAGTAGTTGTTTGTTCCACTGACAGACTCAGGTTGTTATTGTCAGTGTCTGACAGCATTATGAAAGGATCCCTACAGAGATAGACCTTTAGTTTAACCACAAACAGCCGTAACCCTGGAGAGTGATGGAAAAAAATAAAGCTATGCAGTGAAACAGAAGCTTTAGTCCAGAAGTGGAGGCAGGACTGCAGAGCAACCTATCAAAATAAAACGACCCACATTAGAAGAACACTGACGTGCAGGACTTTTTTAAAAGACGTTCTTCCGTCTCTGCAGGTATCAAACACCGCAGCACGGAGCACAACTCCAGCCTCATGATGTCCGAGTCAGAACTGGACAGCGACCAGGACACCATCTTCAGCCGGGACCGACCCGTCCGCAGCAGGAACCGGCTCAGCAGCCAGGCCGCCCGCAACGGCAACGCCTTCGGCTGACGGGACGGAGAGATTTAACTCCCTAACGATCAAAGGACTTCATTACCCAGAAATCCTGTGCCGTGAGTTGAACCAGTGTCACATTCCAGGGTCAAACTCCTTCGAAGGACTTGAGGAGACACAGGAAACATTCAAATTTGGGCAAAAACATATTTTTAATATGACAACCTTGATGACGCGTGTTGACATTCATGGTTGAACAGAAGAATTTTGGGAAATCGTCTTCCCCACAGCAAGACGAGAAGATGGAGAGTTTCATCCAGGATGGGGTTAGCCTAGCTTAGCACAAAGACTGGAAGCAGGTGGAAACCGCTAGCGTAGCTCAAATCCACCTTCCAACAACGTTAACATTTACATGTTGTAACGTCTTAGTTAACAAGCTAATCACCAATCCATCCAACTTAGCTAATGCTAACTGGACCCAACTATGGAGCCAGTTTAATTTATTGCTATATCTCAAACTTAAAACTGATCACTTCTGCTGAAATGTGCTTGTTAAAGACAAAAAAACCCTCCAGAAACCTCATTACCTACAGGAAGGCCTTAGTGTCCAGTCAACAGTGTGTTTAGCTTAGCTTAGCACAAAGACTGGAAACTGCTAGCATGTCAAAGAAAATTTCCAACTTTCAAAAGCTGCAAATCTGTCTGATTGACGAGCTAACAACCTAGTCACCAGTGTATCCAAGATTAGTTTTGTTGGTCATGACCTAGAAGCTAACTTTAAGCGAGCTAACCAAACTAGGATAAAAAGCTAACAAAGCTAAATAGACAAAAAAAAGCCCCAAATCCACGATTATAAGACCGAGCCTAAATATCCTGTTTGATTGTTATTCAATCAATAACAAGTGTGAATATAGAAATGTAAAAAGGAGACATTCTGGTGTTAGCAGCAGTTAGCAGTGGAGCTATTTGTCAACAAACGCTAGCTTTCTATTGGATGGACCAACAACTAGTTTGTTGGGTAACAAAATACAACATGTAAATCAGTCATTGAATAGTTCTTGTTTAGTAACAAATCAACTGATAAAAGGGTACAGAGCTCCTTAATTCCCCCAAAAAGTCGATATTTTTAATATTGTGAGCCCCAAAGTTATTAATTTGTATTTATTAGCCATTAAAAAAAGAATCTCAATGTTTATTATTACAATTTCATCTTTAATTTTCAATTAATATCTATAGTCAGAAATACAAAACTTTTTTTTTTACAACTACCTACAACATATTACAATTAAGACCAATTTCACTTCACACAATCTGTACAAACCTGAAGAACAGAGACAACAGTGGATGATGGGAATATATCATATCTTTATATCAGCAAAGCTGCAGCTTAAATTTAGAAAATGTTACTTTATTAGAGCTCTGTAGGAAGTTTAACTGGACATAAAGCACATACAGTTAATTAGGTACACCTGTACAGTCTAATGCACTCCGCTGTAACTGTTTCTAATATTCTGACCCTCTTATGTTTGTACATGAGCTCAAACGCCTCAGTCAGTGCACCTTTTAAATAAACATGATCAGACCTACGGAGCGATCCCGAAAACTCGACAATTGGAGTCATGAAAACCCCCGAATTGACTCATTTTCTATCGCTGCACTTTTGTTTTTTAGCTGCGTCTGTGCGTGTACACAGAGCCGAGTCTCACAATGACCATCAATCGTGAAACTAACTGACGGAAGCAGAGAAAGTTAACAAAGGGCAGCCGGACGCCGGACAGAGGCTGCTCCAACTGTGCCATCAGCGGCCCGGCAGGAGAGGCGCTCAGCGGACGAACACTTTTACTCTCTCTGACTGATGGTTTCACATCACAGATGACACAGAAAGACATTAAAACAAGTCAAAGTGTCTTGGACTCACCAAATATTCTACTTCAGTAGAGTCCAGCAATGTATGCTTCTGTTTCCTCCTTCGAATCACAACTATTGATGAAGTGCTTGATCAGAAAAGCGGTATTTATTAAATCCATTTGGAACAATCATTTACACTCGCTGCCCGGTAACCAATCAATGGATTCAATGGCCGCATTTCCACCCCGGGAACTGCTGATGTACGAGTTCAGTCAAATCTTTGCTTTAAATGGCCAAATCTGAGTCGGGACAGCCCAATAACTCTGTGACAAACATGTAACTTTATATTATATACTGAACATTATTAATCTTGTAAAAGAATCTGTGAAAGAGTTTTGTTAATAGATGATGTAGGTGTACCTAATAAAATGCCCACTTATAACCTTGAACTGCATCATTTAAAGTCCAGGTGAAACAGAAATTAATGTATTTCCTGTAAAAACTAAGGAAAGCAGTACTGTGTTTCAGTATTCTCTCCATAAAATATGATCCAGTTTCACCCAAATCACTGATAAAGTAGTGTGTTTGTACAGTAATCAGTGAGCTCCGCTAGCTAGCCAACTAATGAATCAGAAATTATTAATAAATTATTAAGACAAAATTATTGGATTTTAATGTAAAAATACAAAGAAATTGAGTTTTTGGGAATGTTTTTGTCAAACATTGTTAAACAGGGGAGCAATATAACTGAGGATGTGATCTTAAAGATTTAATTTCACCTGAACTTTAAAGGGTTTCTGTCCTCTCTGGTCTCGGAGTACACCTGTACCTCACTGCAGCGAGACTTTAAACCACCGGAGGTCAGCAAAGACAAGGATTTCAGGGTCTGTTCAGTTACTCTTTAATAAGTAAACATAGATTAGAAATAATAATTAATTACATGGCACTTATGACAACTATAATTTTTACTTTCAGGCTCAGAAAAAAAAGCAAATTACACAATAACGAGGTATTTATTAAACTACTATTCTAGAATAATTAATGACATTTGATCTCTATACAGGAATATTCTGACATTTATTTATTCCGATAACATTAGGTTGTTGGCTACATGCATACTATTCAACATCAGACCATTCATTCAACATTTATATTTATTTATGTTTTAGCAATACTGATGTCTGACAGATGTTATTGAAATGTTTCATACTGAAGCTGTTAAGTGTTGTATAAATGGCACATTAATTATCTATAGAGCCAATCTGAACATGTGTTCAATATGACAGCATATATTTATGTTATAATCATAGAAAAATACAGTTTTTACATCAACAGACCAACTACAGGACACAATGATGTTCAATACAAATACTTATCTTACAAAAAATTTACCAAAAAGGTTTTTTTTGTGCGTTTTAATTTATTTTATCACAGTAAATTTTCCCTTCTCTACCGAGTTTCCGGCTTTTCTCCTGTTTTAAACGAGGATCTATGTGCTGCTGTAGGAAGTTCACATGTAGGAAACCGTTGCAGTTTATATTGTTTTTTAGCACTGGAACGTCCGCTGTGTGGGAGACGGCCCCGCATGATGCTATATCAGAGTTTAAGGTAACATTAGCACGTCTGTCCTGGTCTTGACGGGATTTGGGGAAATTCATCGGAGAGGATTTTGCCTGACTCGTCATGTTTTCTCTGTAAAAAATATTGTTTGAAAATGTGAATAAAGCATAAATCGACCCTTTGTGCTTTTCGTCCAATTAAATTATAATTTTTCTGTCAAATGAATTTCGTTTTTGGCGCCTGCAAACACGCTCAAAAACTCAACAAACATTCAACTGTGGCGAAAATGTATGGACGCACGGGTATCATAACCAGAAAGCCTCTCGGACCCCTACGGGAAGTCGGCCGTTTTGGATTGAGTGGTCATTTTTAGCGATTCTGCGTGTAAACTAAACGCCATCAGGATTAAACGTTGTGCTTTTTGTGACTGTGCGTCAAACAACATACAAATATTCAGTCCTACTTGTAGCGCCTCCTAATGGAAACAGGAAGTAAGCTGTATGTACCAATCACCATCTGATTTATGTGAAATTTTCATGGTATGGTCTACACCGTGCACGAGTACACCGTGCCGAGTTAGCATGATATTGTCTATTGTATTTAAGACCTTTTTACAGAGTTCAAAAATATGTTTTTTTAAATCATTTATGTGAATGTTTGCTTGAACACATTTCAGAGACAAACATTCACCTAAAGTTGGTTTTAACTGAAGCTAATTATTGCCTGAAAGAAACAGTTTCTTATTTAAAAAAAAGGCAACGGAGGAGAATGAAGAGGAGCTCGTCTCACTGAACCCGTCCTGACAGCCGATGGATAATAAAACTGTTTTATGATTTGTCAAAAGTTACTCGACTACTTTTATCCCCTCATTAACAGTTGAGGTTTACGGTATTTTTAAGGGCAGTCCACAGATGTTTTATGTTTAAAGTGTTATTTTGTGTTATGGTCAAATTTAAAATCAATTAAAACCTGGGCTCTACAGTTAGGACCTCTAATGATAGTACCGGCTGGACCCGTCGCTCTGTCCCGATTCAGGGTTTGAGGCCTCCGAAGCACATGTACTTGACTTCCAGATACTCTTCGACGCCATACTTGGAGCCCTCGCAGCCCAGACCGGACTGTTTGACCCCACCGAACGTGGCCTCTGGGGTGGACAGGAGGCCCTCGTTGATTCCAACCATCCCCACCTCCAACGCCTCCGCCACCCGCCAGATCTGACTCACATCCTGCGAGTAGCAGTAACCTGAGGACAGAACAACCTCCTTTTTAAAGCTTCAACTCCTTCAAAGTCCACATTTTAAGACTGAATAACAGGTTATTCCAAAGGCTCCCTTAGGAGGACACAACTGAAGTGTGCAGAATGTGAAATGATTGATAGTTTTGAAGTTAAAGCCTAACTTAACATTTGAAGAGTCAGAACTGTTTGTTGTGTTAATAACAGTTGAACCCCTCAGCAGGATGGACTCACCTGCCAGCCCAACATTAGATGCATTAGCAATAGCCAGAGCCTCTTCCTCTGTGTTGAACCTGTAAAGCAGAAACAAAATGTTCTGATTGGTCGACAGACGTCTGCAGCACCTGAATACAACCAGCTGTCAGCAGCACTTTTGAAGTATAGATCAATAAAGTATGAACACATTAAAGCTCCAGTGTGAAACATTGAGGAGGATCTTGTTGTTGTATTAAAATGTAATATAATATTAATAGGTATGTTTTCATTACTCAGGAGGAACTCTGGTTCTGTTCAGGATTTCAGGAGTTCAGAACAGTCAACAATAAATAATCTTTTCATTGGGAATAAATCTGCTTCCTGCGTGAACCTGAGGTTTCCTGAGCTTGAGAAACACTGAATGAGCTTTCATCTACAGAGGGGGCGGGTCCTCGTGTACAGACTCTGCCATGTTGAACCTCCATATTTCTCTGCCACAACAGCACTAGATGCTAAATCCTACACTGGTCCTTCAGGACTCGTTCAGTTCCACGAACAGAGCAAGCGTACGGACCTGATGACGGGCAGCAGCGGGCCGAAGGTTTCCTCCTTCATGCAGAGCATATCTGTGGTGACGTTGGCCAGCAGGGTGGGCTCCATGAAGGACCCGTCCAGACGCTTCCCGCCCTTCAACACCTTCGCTCCCCTGGACACTGCATCTGACACCTGCTGGACCACCTGGGAGACAAACGGCCTCAGGTGTTACACTGCTGCCACGAGGGCTTGTCTTTTATTATGTGAGGCTGATGGATATTAAAGAGTTACTGAAATGTTTTATTTTAATAGATATAATTGGACATACAACAGATAGACGAAAATATAAACTGACTGATTTTATTGTCTTTACAATATTTTAAAGGTTTGTTTTGTTTCTGTGAAGTTGAAATAAAGCATTTCAATGTAAAATTACTGTTCAGAGAGAAATATAAAACTGTTTCTGGGTGAAAGATACAGCACACTGATCCATCAGTCTACACCAACCTGGGGGTCAGGACCACCACCTAGCGGTCGCCCGTTTTCCACGACACTGTACGGTCGTAGGTCCTTACATATGAAGATGGCCACAGACTCCGTTATCTTCTGTGCGTGGGCAGAGTTTGGCGGCAGTTTGCAAAGAAAGGATCTGTCGAGTTGTGTCTGTTTTGAATCCACAGGTTTAGCCGCGGGTTGCTGCAGAGCATCTGCATGGTGTCGGGGCTTTGTTTATTTATTTTTATTTATTTATTTTTTTTGTAGTTTTTGGTTTTGTAATTTTTTTTATTAAGTGGTTGCGCAAATTTGTTGTGTTATTGCAGTATTTTAGTACTGCCTGGCACAGCTTACACACTACCTTACTGTTATCTATTTCCTGTGTTCCAGGTTGACACTGGAATCCAAAATGACTCCAAACGTCTGCTTTTAAAGTTGAAGGCGCTGGTTTAACACTGCTGTTACCTGCTTCGGTTGCCATGTTGTTGTTGTGTGGTCGAGTGAGGCCTCCGTCCGTACAACACAAATCACACAAAGGTGTTGCTCACCGCGCCCCCACTGGCCAGGGGCTTGAATCGATTCAGAGGATTTAATGAATCGATATTGAATTGGGAAAAATATATTGCAATGCATTGATGAATCGATATTTTTACCCACCCCTAATTAGAACGATGGACGACTGTCAGTGAGAATAAAACACTGAATCTGTCAAATAAAGATTCAATCAATAGACTTGAGTCTGTATGAGTGTTAATGTAAGTATATATTTCTTCTTTCAATATTATTATTATTTAAAAAAACATAATATATAAGAATATATAAGAGTATCAGAGCACTGCGGGTCCCTGGTTTACCTTCTCTGCAGCTCTGGTGTTGATGAGCGGCCCCTGGGTCGTGTCGGGCTCTGAGCCATGGCCCACACGCAGCTCGGCGTCCATCGCTTTGCCCAGTTTCTCCATGAAGCGATCGTGGATGCCGCTCTGCACCAGAAAGCGGTTTGAGCACACGCACGTCTGCGGGAGGAAGAGGAGGGTGAGCAGGGTGAGGAACTGCAGTAACAGAGCTGTGTAAACTTCAGTCAGACTCTACCTGTCCAGAGTTCCTGAACTTGGAGGCCATGGCTCCGGCCACCGCCTTGTCGACATCGGCGCTGTCGAACACGATGAAGGGGGCGTGGCCCCCCAGCTCCATGGACGCCTTCTTCACGGTGTCAGCAGCCATTTTCAGCAGCAACTGAGGGGAGAGTTAAAATGTAAAGTTGAAAGTTAAAAATGAATAAATGACTGAAAATGGATAAATCAAAGTAACCAGCGTCGGAGGGTCTGACCTTGCCGGTGGCGGTGGAGCCAGTGAAGGAGATTTTGGCGACCAGCGGGTCGGTACAGAGAACCTCCCCGACTGCTGGAGTCTTCTCTCTGGAACAGGGAACCACGTTGAACACCCCCGCCGGGATCCCCGCCTGCTCCGCCAGCTGCAGGACGCGTAACCGTGTTATTTACAGGAAGGAAACTAAAAAACATGAAGTGTTAAATGTTCAGTGTGCCGACCTCGGCCAGAGCGAGTGCCGACAGCGGCGTGTCCTCAGCTGGTTTGACCACCACCGTGCAGCCGGCAGCCAGAGCTGCTCCAACCTTCCTGGTGATCATAGCGCTCGGGAAGTTCCACTGTGGAACAACACAACCAAACATCAGCATTTCCACTTTTAGATGACTTAAAAGATTAAAGATTTTATCTGTTTCCAACTCTGTAAATGAATATATGACTTATTTTAACTTTAAAGATTACTGAAACTGTTTACATGAAAACAATGAGTTAGTTTTACTTAAAATTTTAAATCAGTTTCAACAATTTTTTGAGTTAAATGGTTTTACAGTGTAATCTAAACTTTAAAAATAACAATTTAATTCTGTTTTCTTCACAGAAATGAATATAATGAGTTACAGGTCTACTGAGTATATTTTTTAAGTTTTCTAGTTAAACCAAGAAGACCTTGCGACCTCCTGTGAAGAGAAATTCAAACTTTGCCCTCATGGTGGCGCTTGAGGAAACAATCTGACCCACAGTGAGGTTGAGCTGCTCACCGGTGTGATGATGGAGGCGACCCCCACAGGCTGTTTGAGGAGGAGGATCTTTCGGTCTTTGGCAGGCGACGGGACGATGTCGCCGTACACGCGCCGAGCCTCCTCCGAAAACCACTCCAGGAAGGAGGCGGAGTACGCGATCTCCCCGAGAGACTCCCGTATGGGCTTACCCTGCGATGCACAGCGCACAGTAATGACACCACGAGCCTCGCACACAGGAACAGATACATTCTTAAATTTAGCTAGAAAAAATTTGAAATGATTGAAAAAATGTAAAATAGGATAAACAGCTACAAGCAAAATATAAATGGTTGTAAAAATGTGCAAAAAAATTATAAATTTAAAAATCATCTGAAAATTGTCAAATTTAGCAAATATACAAATTTGGCGACACATTGTTGGAAAACGGAGCTATAAAATTGTATAAATGATTGAAAGAAATCCTTTTAAAATAGATGAATCAAAGTAGCTGAGAGTTATTGATAAACTGTTAAAAACATTAACTAAAAACTGATCAGTGGTTAAAACTTGTGCCACAAACCAAACCACCGACAGTTAAATCGTATTAACAATATCCACTTTATATAATCAGTACTGTTAAATAACATTCAGTTTAAAAACAATCAATCAATCAATGGACTCTGATACTCACACTCTCGAATGTGATCAGTTTGGCCAAATCCTCTTTGTGCAGCGTCAGCAGGTCGAACCACTTCCTCAACAGGATGCTCCGCTCCTGCAGGAGAACCAATCAGATTGCACACACAGCATCAGGAGAACCAATCAGTCATCATGTCTAAAACGTTAATATATAAATGGTTCAATCTAAAAATGTTGTTTTTCAATCAAATATTGATATATGAGCATCCAAATAATTATTAATGATCCTCAAAGTGTAAAGATTTGATGTTTCTCGCATAAAAAAAAACACAAATTGAATTGACTGTTATGTCGACGACGTCCAGCTTTACATCTCCACCAAATCCATCCCCTCCGCCACTCACTCCACTCTCTCCAACTGCCTCACTGACATTAAATCCTGGATGCACCCCAGCTTCCTTAAACCTAACTGCGACAAAACAGACAAGATCATCATCAGTCCCAAATCCATCACTAAAACCACTCACAGTTTCTGCCTCGCTGTCGACACCTCCACTCTGTCTCCATCCCTTCACAGTCGCAACCTCAGAGTCATCTTTGACAATAACCTCTCCTTTGAACACCACATTATCCAAATCACCAGAACTGCCTTCTTTCACCTCAAAAACAAAGCCCGACTCCGCCCATCACTCTCCTTCTCTGCTGCAGAAACCCTCATCCACGCCTTCATCACCTCCAGAATGAATTACTGCAACAGCATCCTGTACAGCACACCATCCAAAACCTTAAATAAACTCCAGTACATCCAGAACTCTGCTACTCATCTGCTCACCCACACCCGCGACCACATTACTCCTGTCCTCCAGAACCTCCACTGGCTCCCGGTCCCACAACGTACTCAGTTCAAAATCCTCTCCTCACACACAAAGCCCTCCATAACCAGGCCCCTTCCTACGTTACTGACCTGCTCCACCGCTACAATCCATCCCATAGCCTCCGCTCATCTGATGCAAACCTCCTGACTCCACCTACAGAGCCTTCTCTGTAGCTAAATGGTTGTTATCCTACATCAGCTGTTTTAATGTAATAGTCTGATTTAGTGGAAGAAAACTGAGTAAATTTAAATTGGTGGAAAACAACAAAGACGATATAAAACTGTATAAAACGTCTGTTAGTAACGGGAGTTACTTTATTAAACATTTGCATCCTGTTAATAAATGTCAAACCGAGGAACTTAAAGTGTCACCGAACAGCTGGACTTTGAACTTTATTAACTGACTGACTGACACACACACACACACACACACAGATACAGACGCACTCGCACACACACACACACACACACACACACCTGCAGTGTTATTAAGTACATTTACTCAAACAACGTTCATTTGATTTGATAGTTTTAGTTACTTTGCAGATTTAAAATTATAAATACAAATTATAATGCACTAATCCAGTGGTTCCCAACCTGGGGGTCGGGGCCCCTCGTAGAGGTCGTCAAGGCTTCACAAGGAGGTCACAACAACAACTTTAAAAGGTTATACACAGCAGGCCAATATCTCAGCGTTTGATTCATTTCTGTCTAACTATACGAATATTAAGTCTGTATGATCGTTAAAAAAGACAAAAATAAAGAATACAGACAGAATTTGATTAAACAATGATGCTAACAGGAAATAATCTGCTCACAATGCATCTAAATATATATATATATATATATATATATATATATATATATATATATATATATATATATGTAAAATATAATAATCTAAACTTTAAAAATAACTTTCATTTAGTTTTATTCACAGAAATGAACTAAATGCTGAGATATGGACCTCCTGTATGATGTGAATGTGTTGACTAATAAATGTCTGATCAATAACAGATAATCAATCAGTTCCAAACTCTCTTATAAACCACTGTATTGACAGGATGAGCCTCAGGTCGCTCACAGTGAATCAGACCCCGTTAATGAGCTGCACAAATACACCTGCAGAGAATTACCTCACGCCAAACTCCATTCAAATATTTCGCAATTTAACATGTCGTGTGTGTGTGTGGCTACGTTTTCATGAACGCATTCAGCAGCTTCCTTTACTATTTGAAAGACTCTCTTTCCTTTCACATTAATGGGTAGCGAACACTCAGCAAGTCCTACATATTCCTATAGGTACGGTTCAACGAGGGGGCTGCATCGAGCGATGACAAACTAAAGTGAAACTGTGGATTTTATCTAAATACTGTGTTATTTGGTTAATTACACACTAGCCGAATTGAAGTTCGGTTCCTATGAGTTCAGAAAATACTCTTGGTTTAACGTTTTTGTTGCTTTCCCGGAGAATGTGCGACGTTAATGTTTAATTGACAGTTTTCCGAGTACAGTTCGGCTGCCGTACCTTAGCGGTGCACTGCTTCCAGGAGTGAAACGCCTTGTACGCGGCGTCCACAGCCTGCTTGGCTTCAGCCGGCCCGCAGTCCGACACCCGGGCTATCTCCTTCCCGGTGGCCGGGTCCAGAACGGGGAACACCGAGGCTGCGGAGACCCAGCGGCCGTCGACGTAACCCTGCGTCCGGAGCAGCGGAGCGGAGACATCCAGGCTGTAGTGTCGGTGCATGGCGGCGGGCAGGCCGGGGAGGACCTGCCGGAGGAAGCAGCGAGTCCTCAGCACGCAGAGAGTGGACATACCGGGGCCGACTGTCCGGAGCTGGCTCGGGTTCTGTGGGTTTGTGTCCCCAGCAGCTTCCGGTCGGTTTCAACCAGTCCGGACGAGGACGCGTTAACCACGTGACACCGCACAAACACAACCGGAGAGCACTTCACGGACCCCTTCTGCTCCACATCACTGATGCGTTCAATGTCCAAGACACAGGAGCCTATTTCCACCAAGAGGAGGAGACAATAGATGAAATGGGGTCATGATTAATGTAAAAAGTCACAATTCAAATATTAAAATGATGATGAAAGAATGTCGTTGTGTATTTGTTTGTTAATTGACAGATATCTTGTTTAATTGTGATATTCTTTGTACTCTGATTTGCAGTACTTTGCCCTATTGCTGCTGTGTCAACCTGAATTTCTCCTAAGGGGGATCAATAAAGGAATATCTATCTCTCCATCTCTCCATCCATCTCTCCATCTATCTATCTCTGGAAGTTTTCCCCAACAGAAACGTTGAATAAATGTTGTTTATCAGTGTATAAGGTAAACTGTCCAAATACAGTTGTTATCAGTGTAAACAGCAATAATTACTGTAATCTCACAGATAATGACTTTTATTATAGTTCTATAACTTTTAAAATCCAATAACAGCACTCTGCTGTAAATGTAAGCCTGATTATTTGTATTAAAGTAGACTTCACCTGGATTTATAGATCATTGTTTTATAGTGTAAATATATTTAACATTAAAAAGACAAAAGAATAATGGTGACGTCTATTTTATCTAATAATTTTGACATTTTTAGGGCTAACGGTTACTTTCATTATTGATTAATGACGTTCTTTTTCTCAATTAATCTTTTAGTAGTTTGATCCATAAAATGGTGAAAAAAGCTTTTTCTATTAAAAAAAAGTCTGAAAAAGATTTAATTGATTATTGAAATAGTTGCTGATTAATTTAATAGTTAACTGAGAAAAATGATATTTTAACAATAAACTGGCAGCTGTGGTTGAACTTTACTGTAATAGAACATATACCCTGTTAAAGTAAAATAATATTAGTACTGTTGAGTTTTATTCCGTATTTTACTGTATAAATGCAACTTTTTACCATCAAAAGAAACAGTTTTGTATGAAAGCTCCATATGAACGCTGTATAAATAAAGGTTTTCATATGAGATATACAGTAACCTGTGTTAATCAGAACAACACCACAACAATAACCTGAATAAAACACATCAGTAACATTAACAGTAATTAAACAGTTCTTGTTAAGTTATCTGTCTATGCACAGTACGTTACCGTGAGCTGCGTGGGTCAGCTGGCGGTCCTGTGAGCCAGGCTGATCAGAGTTGTGGTTCTGAAGTCCAAACAGTCTCTGCTATGCAATGTCCGCTGGTACAGGTTGCAAGAGGAAAGGTGTTTGACTCGTTGCTCTGCAGAGTTAATGACTCTGCGTTAACGTCGCGTTGCTCTGGTAAAGTCATCTGGCAGACGGGGCTATAATCCTTATACCCGGTTATAATCCTTATACCCGGTTATAATCCTTATACCGGGCTATAATCCTTATACCCGGTTATAATCCTTATACCGGGCTGTAATCCTTATACCCGGTTATAATCCTTATACCGGGCTATAATCCTTATACCGGGCTATAATCCTTATACCCGGTTATAATCCTTATACCGGGCTATAATCCTTATACCGGGCTATAATCCTTATACCGGGCTATAATCCTTATACCCGGTTATAATCCTTATACCGGGCTGTAATCCTTATACCGGGCTGTAATCCTTATACCGGGCTATAATCCTTATACCCGGTTATAATCCTTATACCGGGCTATAATCCTTATACCCGGTTATAATCCTTATACCGGGCTATAATCCTTATACCCGGTTATAATCCTTATACTGGGCTATAATCCTTATACCCAGTTATAATCCTGGCTATAATCCTTATACCCAGTTATAATCCTTATACCGGACTGTAATCCTTATACCGGACTGTAATCCTCATACCGGACTATTATCCTTATACCAGACTATAATCCTCATACCGGACTGTAATCCTCATACCGGACTATTATCCTTATACCAGACTATAATCCTCATACCGGACTGTAATCCTTATACCTGGTTATAATCCTTATACCAGACTGTAATCCTTATACCGGACTGTAATCCTCATACCGGACTGTAATCCTCATACCGGACTATTATCCTTATACCAGACTATAATCCTCATACCGGACTGTAATCCTCATACCGGACTATTATCCTTATACCAGACTATAATCCTCATACCGGACTGTAATCCTTATACCTGGTTATAATCCTTATACCAGACTGTAATCCTCATACCGGACTGTAATCCTCATACCGGACTGTAATCCTCATACCGGACTATTATCCTTATACCGGACTATAATCCTTTGTCGTGCGTCGGCGGCGGATCGGGCCACCTGAGGTCAAAAAGGTATCACGCGATGTGGGCGAGCGAGAGAGTAACACCGTGCCAGGAGTTTAATCACCTGGACATCGCGCGACATCAAGCTGCATCAGGTTACAGTGACAGGAAGTGACCCATCACAATAAAAGTCCAGTTAACCACACCAAATGAACGAGTTCTCAGTTACTCTTTAATAAGTAAACATAAATTAGAAATAATAATTAATTACATGGCACTTATGACAACTATAATTTTTACTTTCAGGCTCAGAAAAAAAAGCAAATTACACAATAACGAGGTATTTATTAAACTACTATTCTAGAATAATTAATGACATTTGATCTCTATACAGGAATATTCTGACATTTATTTCTTCTGATAACATTAGGTTGTTGGCTACATGCATACTATTCAACATCAGACCATTCATTCAACATTTATATTCATTTATTTATTTATGTTTTAGCAATACTGATGTCTGACAGATGTCATTGAAATGTTTCATACTGAAGCTGTTAAGTGTTGTATAAATGGCACATTAATTATCTATAGAGCCAATCTGAACATGTGTTCAATATGACAGCATATATTTATGTTTTAATCATAGAAAAATAAAATTTATATATACAATTTATTTTTATCAAAATTAAATTCTCCCATCTCTACCGAGTGTCCGGCTTTTCTCCTGTTTTAAACGAGGATCTATGTGCTGCTGGAGGAAGTTCACATGTAGGAAACCGTTGCAGTTTATATTGTTTTTTAGCACTGGAACGTCCGCTGTGTGGGAGACGGCCCCGCATGATGCTATATCAGAGTTTAAGGTAACATTAGCACGTCTGTCCTGGTCTTGACGGGATTTGTAGAAGTTCATTGGAGAGGATTTTGACTGACTCGTCATGTTTTCTCTGTAAAAAAATATTGTTTGAAAATGTGAATAAAGCATAAATCGATCCTTTGTGCTTTTCGTCCAATTAAATTATAATTTTTATGTCAATTGAATCGCGTGACCACAAACACGCTCAAAAACTCAACTCATTTTGGATTTAGTGGAAATTTTTAGCGTTTTGGCGCCTTGTATTTTAACTCCTCCTCCTCTGGAATTGATCGGATCCACTCCAGCTTTGAACAGTGCGATCTAAACACCATCAGGATTAAACGTGCTGTTTGTGACGTTTCGCCAAGCCATGCAAATATTCGGTCCTACTCATAGCGCCCCCTACTGGAAACAGGAAGTACGCTGTATGTGCCAATCACCGTCTGATAATGGGAAATTTTCATGGTATGCGTTTTTCTTTTTTTTTTTTTTTTAAATCAATCTTTCTTTGATGTGAATGTTTGCTTGAACACGTTTCACTCTCTCAATTAAAGATTCAAACACAAACATTTACCTAAAGTTGGTTTTAACTGAAGCTAATTATTGCCTGAAAGAAACAGTTTCTCATAATGGAGGAGTATTAAGAGGAGCCCGTCTCACTGAACCCGTCCTGACAGCTGACGGATAATAAAAAATATTTTATGATTTGTCAAAAGTTACTCGACTACTTTTATCCCCTCATTAATAGTTGAGGTTTACTGTATTTTTAAGGGAAACCTGGGCTCTACAGTTAGGACCTCTAATGATAGTACCGGCTGGACCCGTCGCTCTGTCCTGATTCAGGGTTTGAGGCCTCCGAAGCACACGTACTTCACTTCCAGATACTCTTTGATGCCATACTTGGAGCCCTCGCAGCCCAGACCGGACTGTTTGACCCCACCGAACATGGCCTCTGGGGTTGACAGGAGGCCCTCGTTGACTCCAACTATCCCCACCTCCAACGCCTCCATCACCCGCCAGATCTGACTCACATCCTGCGAGTAGCAGTAACCTGAGGACAGAACAACAGAGAGATCAAAAAGAGCCCCCCAGGCTGGGTCCCTTTTTAAAGCTTCAACTCCTTCAAAGTCCACATTTTAAGACTGAATAACAGGTTATTCCAAAGGCTCCCTTAGGAGGACACAACTGAAGTGCGCAGAATGTGAAATGATTGATAGTTTTGAAGTTAAAGCCTAACTTAACATTTGAAGAGTCAGAACTGTTTGTTGTGTTAATAACAGTTGAACCCCTCAGCAGGATGGACTCACCTGCCAGCCCAACATTAGATGCATTAGCAATAGCCAGAGCCTCTTCCTCTGTGTTGAACCTGTAAAGCAGAAACAAAATGTTCTGATTGGTCGACAGAGGTCTGCAGCACCGGAATACAACCAGCTGTCAGCGGCTCCTGTTATTTTAATGCAGAGTTAGGGTGTAATATAGTCCTTCCCTATAAGCTAATATACAGAATATGGAATGATTCTTATAATGAACAAAGAAATATTATCACTCTTATTTTATAATTTACTAGTGCAGTGCCCGTAGGAAGTATGTACTGCTATAGAAAAGTGGGAGGTTGAGTAACTTTTTCATGGATGGCCAAATGAGGTTGTGTTTGAAGGTGGGACGTCAGGGACATTTAGGTTTGTTGTGAAATGTGTTTTCATATAATTTGGCTTTTAGCAAGGCCAATTCTCCGCACCCTCCTCTGTGTGAAAGTTTCAGATGCGGTGAGGGGGGAAATGTCGCTCCGTCCCTGATCCTCCTCTGGAGGTAGTATCAGGGACGCAGGAGCGAGGGCGTGTCGGTCAGACAGTCTGATAACTGCACAGGTCTCTCACTCAACTTAATACAGAGAAATGTCCCACAAAGCAACGTT